AGACATAGCCAAATATTGTAGCGCCACATCAATAGCGGACATTTGAAATTTGCCGACTAGGACGGTCGGTTAACCGAGGTGTCGGTTAATCGGGGATCGAATAATCGAGGCGCTACTGTACCAACAAATTCTTCGTTTTGGACTTTTATGAATACAGTTTTTAACGGAATAGTTAACTTTTTATGGTGACTCGAACATGAAACTAATTGACAATGTTCCACGACTTTTAACCTACCGTTGTTACGATTATCACGAAGCGTCCAGGGGCTTACCGGTGGCCGAGCAGTTCCCTTCCCCGAACGCTGGGAGTTCGGTGGCGGGTTCGAGAAAAACCGAAAAACTCCACGTGGCCGGACCGTCCCGTCCAGGCAATCTGGCCACGCGCAGTTTTCTGGGTTTTCTCCACGTCTGTAACGCCCTTAAAAAGACCTCCCGGAAGACACGCTTTCTAGGCAGATGGCCCGAGTGTGGCCTTGCCGTAACTTAACTAAACGAAAAACCCGAAGTGTCGAGGAGTTCGAATGGGGAAGGAGAGGGGGGCGTTCGGATTTCACGGGTGTCCATATTTTACCCCCGAGTCCCAATATTACTATACTAGAATTGTCGGTGCACTACAAATATATTTCATTACTAATTATATCGAAGTTTATTTCGATATAAACAGTTTGAAAGAATTATTATACACTTTAAAGCAACGGTGAAAGGAACGGTGATTTGTAAAAATCGCGCCAGCAACCGTGCGTTTGCAAACCCAAATATTGTTTTTATTTAAAATGACATTGGCACCGATACCGAAACTATATAACAGCGCCGCGAAGTCGGAATCGGAGTCGTTTTGGTGTTTTCGTCGGAGTCTTTTTACTTCCCGACGTATGTAAAACGGAAAAGTATTGGAATCGTCCGAGTCTTTTGCAAATCTACAGGTTTGAAGACCTCTTAAACCCAAAAAATTTCAAATATAGGGGGAAATTTGTACGTGTGTGTGTCGGCGTCTAATTCGTTTAATTTCTTTATTCTCTGTTCCCAGATATTAACTTAAACAATATCTTAGAATGGGTAGACTTTAAGAAACGAAATTTGGCACAGCAGCTGGCGTATAAAGGGGCATAAATGCTATTTAATTTTGGTTCTTAATTAAAGGTAAACGGGATGGAGACGAAGAAGGAGTCGTGTTTCATATCTCCAGTGTGGTCGGACTTAACTATTTTACTCGTTCACAATTTTTTTTTTTTTATAAAACTCGTCTCTACTTTCAGAATTAAGCATTTTGTCATTTTATAATAGTACAGTAAAACCCGTTAAGATGTTCTCGCCGGAGATGTTAGAATGTAAAGGAGAACACGATTTAGCTCCACCGCTTTTACGTTTAATAACTTCTGCGTTAAACTATCCGACTCCGATTTAAAAATCACGGAAGTTATTAAGCTTGAAACGGGGTGAGCGGAGCCGTGCCCCCCACACGCGATCTAACATCCATACATACAGGAAAAAAACGAATCCTTTCGCCTATCTCGACGTTTCGAGGTGTTCGGGATCCAAAAATGCAAAAAATTGAAAGGGGTCACTTTTCGACCGATGGCTACACTTTCTCTGTGTTAAATATAACAGCCGGGAAAGTAAAAATGATCGAATACAGTACATATTTATATATTGACTACGTCATTACTTAGAGGAGTCTTTTATCTTCGGAATAAAAAAGTTTCTAAGTTCTATCTTTATCAGAACTATTTGTCGAATCTTTTATTCGTGGTGGCGCCACGACGTCGGAATTGCCGGGCCTATTTCGGTAACGAGTCCGTCCCCGGTGGGAGTCGGAGTGGGTAGATTTTTACCCCACTCCGCAAGCCCGCTATATAACGAAAATTCTTGACGTCACCATTACGGCTTTCGACGTCCCCCATATCAGCACTTTCCACAGCCAAATAATGACGAATGTAAAACGTAGTCATGGAAATAAGGTTTCGTATTTTACCGTATTTCGTGTACATCCGAGATAAAACGGTAATAGTTTGAAAACAATGGATATACGCGCGCTTAACGGCAGTTTTTGGAGGTAGACAGTAACTTTCAACAGCCACAAAGATTCGGTCAACGTAATATTTGAAAAACGCTTTGGCTTTATTGCGTATTAGGCGCTACAAATAAGAGCAACGAACATCTTCTCTAGTAGGTGGAGAAATTTGACGTCCGTCGGCAGCTACGCACCAACATAGACCGGGGCTGGCCCAACATTGTTTGGGTTTGTACGTTCCGTCTTCGTTACACTGCGGCGCGAAGGTCCCTATTACTGAAAAATTGTACGCGTTGACGTTAGAACGCGTGGTAACGACGCAATCTTTCGTATTATAATAGTACTTACGTCCTTTTTGCCTGGCCTTATCTCTCTCTGTGTGGCATTTGCAATCCACTACGTTAGCGAAGGAATGGGACAGAGGTCTTCCGTCCCGGCTCCAACATTGACACCGTTCCTTATCGCCGTACAGACATTGGCGTTGGTTGTAATTTCCGTCGGCGTCGCATTCCGGAATTAGTCGCGGAAAAGGGTTTTTCAGAGCTTCTTCTCTCCGCCTCAAACAATCGGTTACAGCATTCGTTTCGGTCCGAACTAAACCTACAGAAAAAATAACGTTTCCTAAATTAATCGAAATTTACATTAATAAGTGTTTGGCAATTTCTAAACGACGCGACGTACCGTAAAGCCACGGCCACTTAAATATTGTCGACGACCGAGGTCGGATTTCCACCTACTCTAAACAAAATACAGTTTCGGGCCTTTCGATTCATTATTATTTAACCAAGGAACAGGGCCGTAGTTTACAACTAGACGAGGTTTAAATGTAACCGCGGCCGAAACGGCCGGGGAGTCGGCCTACGGCTCCGGAAAACCGGGATGGAATCCGGAAGAGTATCCGCCCACCGACGGTGGCGTAGATAAAACGCCCGTAGTGGGTAACGGGTTGGCACCCCACCGACCAGCCGGCCACGCGCAGTTTTCCGAGTTTTATTGGCGCCTCTAGCGCCTAAATAAGCGTGGGTTTTCCGAAAGAGGGGAACGCCCCCGTGGGCGGAGGGCCTAGGCCGCATCCCTTTCCATCCCCGTTCCGGAGGCGTAGTTTAACCAGTAGAAAGTCCCTCTGGGTGTTGGTAGAGCGAAAAGCGCAAAAAAAGGCGATTTAATATTAGCTGTACCGGCGTCGTATACCGTATTTAAATCGTATTTTGCCAAACCGTAACATCGTTTAGGAAATTTTCATCCTCCGATTAAGGTTTTACGCTGGCCGTAATGCGCTGGTGGTTTATTCCATTTCTATACGTAAGGTCCGTTTAATCCAAAAAGCCAGTTGGGTAGACGCATTTTGTAAATTGGACTACATTTTCATTTCGAGTCGTAGTCCCATTTACGAAATGCGTCTACCCAACCGGCTTTTTGGATTAAACGGACCTTACGCGTAGAAAATAAAGATTGGTAAATTACGGCATTATTAGCGGATGGTCGGCCGACACTAGGCGTAACGCCAGTTAAAAATGAATTACCTTTGGGCGGAGAACGAACGGCGATAACGAATATCTGAAAGTAGAAGACGGAGAAAATTTTACGTTTCGTTCTTGGGCTACAGACGGTATAAAACGCTTTAAAATATTATAATTAACTACTAACTTTCATATTATTAAATTTCATTTCGTTCAGCAAAAAGCCGGTGGCTCTTATTTTGTCTAAAGGTCCTCCGTCCTTATCTGTGATTTGGAATTTGTCGCGGTCGTCCTCTACCACGGCGTCTACGTCGTCGTCCACGTATTCTCCCTCCGGCCACGCGTCGATTTTTCTTGAAAAACCATAGAATTAATTCGATTTTTAAATACAGTAATCGATTAAGATCCGACCGACCAAAGACGTACCTGGCTCGGGCCAGCGAAAAACAGCAAATGGCCACCACTAATTTAAAGTTCATCCTTTCCCAATGGCCTTTCTCCGCCGTCAAAGGCAATTTTCTCAATTTATAGTTTATTAAAGAAAAAATTGCCGATTTATGGAAAATTTATGCCGCGTCGGGCACAAATTTTTCTCTTAAAGCGATTTTTTCTATTCCTCTTTTTTGATAAGAGCTTTGTAATTATAAAACTGGCCATATTTGTTATTTTTCGCCTGTTTAGATAAATTAAAATCTGCTTAATTGGCAAATGCCACCAGACGGTCAGGCTACTTTGCCCTTCCCAGATAAGTCGGCGGTGGTAGGGGTTGGTCTTTTGTCCGTTGGCGGACAGGCGCGCGTGCAAACGCTCACCGGTCGGACCGGGCGTGGTTGGAAAAGTCGCCTATAAAGTTTCTGGCCATTAACCCATTACTATTAGACTGTTACGCTGTTAGAGACTGACTGACGTCACCGACCGACCGACCGATAAGCGTTTCCGAACAGACCTTACGAAATATAGCGCCTTAAACATCCGTCCAGCCAACCAACGTTTCGAATAAACTACGAAATACAAATATTCGCCAGCATCTCGTTGGCATTTTTTTCCCAATTTCGTTAGTATATCGCCCGCCTAATATTTATCCATCGTCGTATTCGTACGGGTAACGTACCGAGCTCGACCGTAGAAGCGTTGTTCCGTCCTTGGGAACAAATTCCGTCGTCCCCGTCTAAATCCTTCCGGGGTGGCGCCGGGGGAGCCGACGACGCGGCGTAGTTTAAACGTCGTGGCGTAACGACGACGCGTTACGCGGGCCCGAAATTAACGCCGCTAACAAAGTTTTTCCTCCGTATCGCGCCCATTGATCTTATGGCGGGTGGATCGACCAACGCCGTCGTACATAGTCGATATATTGCCCTTAGCGTGAAGCGGCGGCCCGATGCTCGGCGTTAACGCCAAATCGATCGATCGACCTAATATAAAAATACATATAGAAGAAACTACGTAAATGGTCTTCGAACTTCCTTCGTTTCCCATCACCCGCCCGAAAACGGTCCGTTAAACTAAAAAATTACGTAAAACAGTTGAATTCGAATTATGTATATAGGCTATACTCGAAGGTTTTCGGCTTATTACGGGTGAACTTTACGGAAACCTAACCTGTAATAAAAGGTGGTCTCTGTCCAGCCAAGGCTGTTTTCTTCCGGGTGGTTTGACGTAATGGAAGTTTGAAGACGATTTAGTTTCCCCTATATTTTTATATGGCGAAATACACCGTCTGCCTTTTAAATTCCATCGACCTAGCGTTATTAAAGTAAGCTTGTAAACGTAATTAACGCGCCAAGACGTTTATCGATCGGCGGGTGGCCAACTCTAGAAGATCATTCCCGAATAATTCCACAATACCCAATTGCCACCAATAACGCTATTCTGTAAATATAATCCGAGCGATAATGCCAGGTTGGTACATTTTTAATCGGCGCGTAAACACCCCGTGGAAAAACGGATAACGCCTGACGTTTTATACGTCGGCCGTAAACTTGGCTTATAATCCTTAGCGCGGTGGCGCCCGACCTTCTTGGGCTAGCGGCGCGTCGACAATTTAGCTGTCGACGACTTATAGCTGCTCCTATAAGGCCAGATTTGGTTGCTTTGCCACCTCTCTCCTATCTTCCTCGGATTGGTCGTCTTCGATAAGACCAACCACCCCGTTCCTTCCGGAGTGATAAGCGAAGAGCAATAACACTCCACTATCGTGGCTGAGATGAGATGAGAAGTTATAGCCGCGTCATATTTGTCTCCACCGACTTTGCAACTTGCGCGTGGTACTTAATGGCCACACGTATCGCTTTGAGGTAATTATTTGAACCCGCCAACTCTCTCTCCCTAAGCGTATTCTTAGTTTAACCTTTAGAGGAAGGATAAACTGTATAATCGCCATAAGCGTACACCCGCCGACTTACCGACGCACTCCCGGCCATCCCAACGACTCCGAGATGGGTTTTACCAACCCGTAGCGGAGTAAGCGGTCGGTACCGGATTAACCTCGACCCACCGCTAATCTCGCGATTATATTATAGTATTTGATTTATATAACTACAAAAGTTATCTTACGTAAGGGTTTCTCGCAGCCAGAGTACAGTCTAACACAATTTAAAATTTCTTTACATTTTTTACGGCGGAGGAATAAAGAATTTTTAACGTAACGGCCACTCGGCGCGATAAACCCTGACTTAAAATAACATATGTAGCAAACCCTAAAACGAAAACAATACAAAGAAATTGGTTATCGCGTTTATCGCCATACTCGGGTGGCACAAAATGGCACAATTTCCTCGTTCGAATAAACGGCAATCGTAAATAAGATGTACAGTAATACCTCGACTTACGCGATATTCAAATCTCGCCGATTCCAGCGCCACTCGACTCTCGATTACTCACTCCCCCCGCACTATTGTTCGGCTTAGGCGTTCGGACGTGTCAATTTATTTTGTGTTATTTATTTCTGTGTTTGTTTTATCTACGGAGACTCGAGAGACTCTATTACGTCATCCAAACCATTCTTCCGCATCAAACGAGAAAAGAAAAACTTTATCTTTGGAAAGTAAAGTTAACGTTATTAAAGACTTGGGTACAAAAATGAAAATTTGTCAATTGGCCAAGAAGTTTGATCTACTGAAATCGACGGTCGGAACAATTATAAAAGGCAAAGAAAAAATTCTCCAAGCTGCGAAAAATGCTCGATCTTTAAATTCGAGCATCGTTCGTAAACTTTGCGGTATTATCGCCGAGATGGAAACCATGTTAAAATTATGGGTGATAATCGAGTAAATGTGAAAAATTGTAAAATAATATAGGCCTAATTTGTTATACATATGTATTATCTAAGATTTTATTAGACATTTTTTTCTAAATTATTGCTTTTGCGAGATCCGGAATTTTAGTAACGTAAATCTGGCTCTTTATTAACAACAAAGTTAATTACTTCGCTTTCGTTTGTGTAACGAATTCGAAAAAAAACTATCTTAGCCGGGACTGTCTAAACCCTCCTGTCATAACTATCAACATCCATTGTTCTGTGCGGAACTTGCGGCTCATCTTGCAGAAAAGTTTACAGTTAACATCCAACTTTCGTCATTAAGTCCCTGGAACACCTATAACCTTTAACTCGTCAACGTCCGATCACGTGGTGGAAATTTTCCGCAAAAAGCTATAAAAGACAGTTTTTACCCCCTCTCGGGGGAGTCTGTTATTCAGCGCCGGGCCGACGACACGGCGCCGATTCTCCGAACCCGCCGAATTCCCATCTACGATCGACGAGAACAGCTTACCGCCAAAGTCGCCAACTTTTTATAATTGTGCTCCCGTGGATATAAGACAACTTTAGTCGAACATTTAAGTGCCTTGACGGATTAGACGGGGAAAAGGGACATTCCAAGAGGTATGAAAGCGGGAAAACTCTCTGTCGAGAAAATAAGCGGTTAGAAACGCTATTTGCGTAGTCTTTTTTGTCCATTTTGCTTCTTTTAATAAATAGTTGTTATATTGTTTAAATATGGCAGACTCCTTTACTCGATCACGTCATTCGCCTTATCGTCGACCCTAAAATTATCTCCCTTCACTCGCCCGACGTATCGTCCCGACTAGTGACGCAAACCGGGAGATCTTTGACCTCCCCCGCGGTTGACACTTTTTTTAGTCTCCGGCCCCGATTAAAAATTATTTGTACGTATTTATACGCGAAATTACACCCCGACTTACGCGGTTATCGTTGGGTATTCGGGGTATTACCGTATTCAATTTTTAAGATATCGTATTTTTTTCTAATATTAGCGTTTCGTTCACGGCCGAATATCAAACGACGAATCAAATTTCGTCAAAAATACAGCAAATATTTAAACTCGGCACTTAAAACATATTTCGCGCCGCCCGGTAATCTCGTATTACGCCATTTTTCTATTCCAATGCCGCACACCGCCGAGTACGATAGGAAGAAGGGGCGGTGGAAAAGTCGTAGTCGTCCTCCTTCCGGGAGAGAGTGCGCTCGACGACTACTTGTTAATATCGGTCTACTGTTATTTTAATATATTTGAAAAGCCATCGGCGTTGGATAGGTGGCGACGTTGCCAACCTTAAAGACTTAAAAGACTTGGTACGTCTCGTTTAAATAGAAAAATTTCTGGTAAAAATGCGAGAGTAATCGCTTTTACGTCATCCCGTAAAATACCGTAACTAACGAATCCGGGTGGAAAAAGTAAAGCTCGGCAAAAACGTCGAAGTAAAGGAAACTTTTGAAAGCGTACCGGAAGCGGATTCGACACGCCACACAGGAAATTTCGAAGGAAGCGACGTCGCCGCCGTAACAAATAGGAAAAATGAACACGGACTCGGAGCTTCGCGCCTTAAAATGGTTGTACGTACCGTATATCGATTCGGCCGAACGTTAGAACGTCTTTAAGCGATACCGGCGAAGGAAGTTCGGGGCAACGGATTTACGAGTTAATAAGGGCGGACGAAATCGGGGCGTCCAGTTTTACGACAGTTAAGTACGTCCGCGTTTATAGAAAAATTATTAGAATCGGTTCGGTTTATTGGCCGGGGAGGATGCGTCTCCGTAAGACTTACGTAAAGCCGACCTCGATTTAATTGTTATTAACGCCAAGAAAACCCGGAAGACTGCGGTGTCCGGTGATTTTAGTCCATCGGTTACCGGAGGGTACTGATCGGACCGTAATTCGAAAAAACCGTCGACTTATAGATTCCGGACGTCGTCACCCGTCCGTCCTTCCCTAATCCGGAGAAGGGAATTAGCTAGATAAAACTCGAGACCGGGGGCCATATTCTGGTCACCGTCTCTGGTCTATCGTCTTTCGCAAGACGGTCTCTCATTGGCTAATCCAAACGATTAGCCAATCAGCGATCGGCTTGCGAGAGACGAGAGACCAGAGAGGATGACCGGAATACGACCCCGGGTGTAGAAACGGCGAGAGAAAGAAGCCGGGCTTAACCGAAAGTCGCGTTATTTCGATGGGAAGATTTTGCCCCGAACGGAGTTAGATACGTAACCGCGCGACTCTATCGCTAATGGGAAAAGCGGAAAAGTGCCACGTAACACTCTACGCGGGCCAGCGCTAGGCGCAACCCGCGGCAGTAAAGGCGTAATGGCGCGTCTATTCGCGCTATACTTTATCTTCGTCGCGGTAATTAAGCCAATATAATACGTATTTGTATTTAAAATTATATTCCTTTTTGTAAGAATTATATTTAGTTTATTATTTTCTTAAATTTTTTGCCAATAGACGAGGCTACGCGTAAAGCCAAAAATCGAATGTCGACAGAAATTCATCGATACGCGCCGGATGTTTAAAAGTAAGGCAGCAATTAGTCGAACGGCGTAAGCGTGGATGGCGAACAAACAAACAAACATCCTCATTTATATATATATATATATATACATAGTAGTGATGTAACGAATATTCGGTTACTATTCGGTATCGGGCCTATTCGGCCTATTTTTCACTATTCGGCCGAATACCGAATACCTAAAACAGGAGTAATAAATAACAAAAACGCAGTAAATTAATCATTTTGGTATTTAGATTTAATGTTGTCGAGTTAGCGTTGCTTGTTTATATTTATTTATAACTTGTAACACGCGCAAAATAAAAAAGAAAATAATATTAGTCACACGTATTCGCAATTTATAATTACAAAGATCGGCACACTACACACCTATTCGTTCGAGAATCGTCGCACTTCTGAGGGTCCGACCCTGCCTATCCTTCTTTTTAAGCGCTCGTCTTCGCTCTACCCTTTCTCTTTCCTCTATCGCTCTAGTCCACGCATGCCTGTGCATACAACGCAATACGCGCTCACGATACTTTCGATTCGTCACTTTTCCGTCGTAGAGTTCCCATTTTACAATTACGTGACTCAGCCTGGTGATAACGGAGAAAAGAGACAGATGGGACGTCGATATAAGTCGCAGTTACGATTTCGCAGATTCGAGACAGCTCGATAGCCCGAACGGTCCCGGGCTTTCGCCCGTGCACGCTAAGTGACTTACATTACGAGCATTTATCTTTCGGAAGTCTATGACAACTATTGTTTGGCATTGACGGCCGCGAATTTCGTGCCAATAAGCTGCCTCCACTCGTTCGATTATGTCATCGACTCAATTTCGTATTTATTTTCACATTTTTACTTGGCGGTCCTTCTCTGTTCTTTTTCCGTTATTTACACGTGTAGGTCATTTCGTTGTTATCCACATTTGATATCATCATTTATCACATACTTCCATGACACTCTTGTCTGTCGGCTGCAACTACCAAGAATTAACGCGATTGGCGAAACGTAGTGACAGCGGGCCTTGCCATAATGCGGTTTGCGCGCCAATTTTCGTACGTGCGTTAATCGAGCCGAATATTCGGCTATTCGGCCACGCTCCTGGCCGAATATACTATTCGTTACAACACTAATATATAGATTAACAAAAGTATTAGGGGACACATTCGTTTCTTTATATATCTTATTTATTTGGCGTACCTTAGTTTTTGTAAACTTTCGCTACCGTTTAAAATTTTATTCCGGAAACTACTCGGTAATCGAGTGTATTACTATAGTCTACCTGTATTTTGTATAAGTAGAAGCGCGATGGAATTTCGACCGAACGTTTATTTGACGAGTATCGATCCGTCTAAAAGTATAAAAAGCGACGCGCCTTCTAATCGCCAATGTAAATAAAACCTTGGAAAAATTTAAGAGGCGAAATATCGACCAGAAGGCGATACGGTGGCTAATTGGACCTTTTCGATAATTAACGATTATTTCGGGGTATGACGCTTTCCGAAATTATAGTATGTGGTAGGGCGCGCGAAATAACGGTAAAAGTACCGTAAGAGCGATGGAAACGACGTAATATCTGTATAATTAATTAGCGTAGCTCGACTTATTTTGTGTGATTTAGATAAACGTCTTTTTAAAATTCTTTATTAAAGCCACTCTTCGTCGCATTCGATTTCGTCGGTGCTGGGCTCCGAAACTTCGTTGCCGCGTTTATCCACGCACCAACAAGTTGCCGCGCTGGCCCAACATTGCCTTCGTTCGTACGTGCCGTCTTCTTTACACTGAGGGACGTAAGAGCCTAATAGAACTATTAAGAAAACGTAGTAAATCGCAAACGCTGGAAACCGGGCGTAAGTATAAAAGCGCGCCGGATTCTTACCGTCTTTTTCGGCTGAAGCTTTGTCTCTGGGACATTCGCAAGCTTTGATTTTTTTGGAGGGCGCGGTCAGCGGAATGCCTTTTTTGTTCCAACATTGACAAAAAGAGCCATCTTTATGACACTGAAGTCCTTCGTAATCGCCGTTTTCGTCGCATTCCGGGATCACCCAGCCTATAGCCTCGTGGCTCTGTTCTCTCTTTCGATGTTTTTCGCATTCGGTCTCGCCTTTACAAAATATTCGTATTTACAAATAGAAAATTCGTTTAAAATCTTACTGTAGCGTTTCGACTAAGTTCGCTAGTGACGTCACAAAAATCACCGAAGAACGCCGATATACTCGCGCCGAATATAGTTACGTTACGAAATTATTCTGCAAACAATTGCCAATAATTTCGTAATAAGCCGCGCGGAAATCGAAAATTGTTATAAATTTTCGAAACGATCGGTCTCTCCCCTTTCTCGTGTTCGGTAAACGATACTTGGCACTCCGCAGTACCGAATTTCCGCTTCCTTATCTTTTGAATTTCTATTATTGTGTACTCGCTTTCGTAGGTTAATAATTTTAAAATAAACGAAGCATTATCGCGTAAATAATTACGTACGGTAAAGATATAGCGCCAGTGAATTTTTTCACCCCCTATAATGCGGTAGATACGTTTTACGTTATACGAATTTCGCGTTGTAGGAATCCTTAACTTAACGCCCGTTGACGAGAAAACTCGTCAGGTTTACATAGCGTTACGAAAAATTCGGTAGTCAAGGTTAGTTTTTGACAAATTTTTCTTTTCAATTTTTGGAATGTTTTTTAGGTCCACAAATTTTTGCAAAAATTTTTATCCGCGCGAAAAAAATTTTATGGCGATTTTAATGAGCCTTCGATAAGGCTCGATTAAGGCTTAATTGTTTTTAATGGGAGTTTTTTATCAAATTTATTTCATGGTTTCTAAGTTGTAGCGCACGGATTTTCCTTCGGTAAAGTTATTTAAAGTTGCTTTCTGATGTCAAAAACTACCTCCAAGTTTTTAAATTTTTTAAATTAATATATTTTATTTTATATAAATTTAATTAATTGGGGGGGGTCGGAAATCGCAATTAAAATCTTAATTTTTTAAAAATATTTAAAAATATAGGCTGGCTCATATTCACCCTACTTTAAAAAGGTCTATATAAGAAGGTCAGAACACGCTCCCGTGAATCTATGCGGCAGCGGCCATTTTGGGACTTATCGATAGACTACACTCCATAGGTATCCCGCGTGAGTCGATTATTATCACGTATATAAGTATTCAAACCTTTAAACAATGGGTTATTGGGTGGAACCAAATTGTAAAAATGAATTTACAGACGTTCGATGGTTTAGATTTCCCGCAAATAAGCGGAGGAAAGCAAAACGTAGCGTAGACATCAAGGGATGGTTGACGATGCAGTTCAAAGAGTTTATATGCGTAAAGTTTGTAATAAGTGGTTTAAACGAGTGGATACTCTTCGCCTCCACCAACGAACTATACGTGGAAATTTTTAAATGATATCGGCGATCCAGATATAAAACAAATTAATTTTTTCATTTTTCTATCCGATGATAAAATAATTAAACAAATAACTGTTTTAATACGACCATATTGTATTTAAAAATAAAATTATAACGACGGTATTGACTTATGCTCACAATATTTATTAATAAAACATTGCAAAAAATTTAGTTCGATTTAAATAAAATTTACATTAATTTTATTGTTAGAATTTTTATTTTAAAAGTAGTGATGGAAATCTAAATAGGCTGTATCTAATTCTTATAATCTAGAGATTCTATAATATTTAATTGATTTTATTTATATTTAATTTTTCATTGGCATAGCAATAATTATCTTTTATCCCGAACATTTAAGAACAGATTTTAATTGAGTAACATAAATTGTTTTTTCTGGAAAGAAAAATGTAAGGATCGGATGCGTTTAAAATGTTTGTGTGTTCCTACACCCATTTTCAAAATTCTAGTAAAAATAATTTAGCCCAATTGTGCATTTGATACATTTTTCTGGTATGGATTTAAAGTGTAATGATTTAATATTTTTCTCACACTTAAATATATCAAATATAATTCAAGACTTAATATTTTTACTGTAGTTTTTAGTAGTAAACTTTAAATTTTAATATTAATGCGGAACGTGTAAACAAAAAAAATTATGCGCAAACAACATTAAATTGATATTTTTTTGTTTTATTTAATGAAAGTAAAATTGACTATTTAATTGTAAAAAAGAAAATTTTAGCATTATTTTGCTATGGCAACAAATATTCATATTTTGTTTGAATACATTATATTCTGTTCGAGTATTATTTGTCAGTTTATTGTCAAATAATTTAATTTAAAATTTTATTTTTGGAATTTTTTGAAAGTTATTTATAAATTAAAAATATATCTACGTATCTATTACTTATTATAAAATAAGCATTACATTGACATTTATTAATAGTACTATTGAACTTTGGCTTAATTTTATAACCAATCGTGCTTTAAAAAAATAATTATAAATTTGTTATATTATTATATTCTTTATTATACTTTAAATTTTCTTTCATGTTATTGCATCACTTTACCAAGTGCATATATACGTAATTGCATCAGTTTTAGCACCTACTTAATTAGTTTAAATCGTAACATCAAATGCCATGGATGATTGTTTCTTTTAAACTATTTGATAAAAACGTTACATAAAATTGGGGTCGCGTAATCGTCCGAAATTATTATTATATTTTTGACTGGAAATCACTGGATTTATGCAATTTTAGTTTAATTAATGTCGTATAAAACTGAATGCTCGTACAAGTTTGCCACTCAAAAAACCCCAAAATGGCGGCTCGACAAGTAGGTCACGCGTGTCCTGACCTTCTTGTATAGACCTTGTACTTTAAACCCTTATCCTTCCGAGACGTCTATGAAAATGCCCCGGGAAATCCGACTCCAGCTGTTCTCCAGGTCATCCAGCTGTGTAAACAATGACTCGTCGGTGTTAAATTTCGCAGAAAGGCGAGACAAAGGAACTTAAACTTCGAAGCTTTTTCTTCAAAATAAACGCATTTCTTTCGTTTTTTCAGTTTAAAGTATTTTTTATGTATTTTTTATGCTTAATTACATCATAATTAATGATAGGTGGGAGTTAAGGGGTATACGTGAGCCAATCGCAGCCCGACACGTGTGCAGTTTACGGACTACGGCTGTTTGAAAGGTTTTCTTCCATAAAATTGATCGATTCTTGACTAATTCCACTCAACATTTCCAAAACACGTATATTTTTTTTGGAAGTAATCCGTATAAACTATGCTATAAACAAAAAATTGTAGGATTACGTTACGAGTGTGCACTATTCGACGTCGCCATTGCTTAAGCTCGTTTTCGTCGCGGAGCGGCGCACCAAACGGCGGCCGCGATTTCTGATAAGTTATTTTTCTGCGAAAAATTCGTTAAACTTTGGAGACATCATTAATAGACATAATTTTTATGGCCGTTGAATAAGAAATGTATAAAATTACAGTACTGTATTAGACTTACGGTACCTAATTTATATACTGTACAGACGATAGTAAACTCAACTTACCCGTCTAAACTCTCTGTAGCGTGTAAGTAGTTCGGCTGCTCGTCTACTATTGGTCCAGATTCGACCAATCCTGCAGCGACACGAATCGGCGATGACGTTTTACCACGTTTTACTCCTCCCTTTTAGCGTCTTTATACCAATACTGTCGCAATTTTTTCGCCATGTTATAGGAACCCGCGTTATAGGGGTCTACTGTATATTATGCGCGAGTATGACGTATCGGCGTTCTTCGGTAGTCCACCTATCGCGTCGTTTACGTCGCTAACAACTTAGTGTAGACAGTATAAATTTAAAATTCGGACCATACGGCCGGAACCTTAACGGGATATAATACTGCCAATTAATTAGGATACAAAGTCATTTGGAATACAGACCGGCGATTAAGCCGCCGTCTGACAATTAAATTTTTAACGCGAGAGGACGGCTTTACGGCCAATCGTTAGTCTAAAATTTAGACTAACAATTTAGAATGTAAACCGGGGCTGTGGAGTAGTCAAAAAATCCGCCGACTCCGACTCCTTTTACTTTCCAACTTGTAATGTATATACAACGGAAAAGTATTGGAATCGTGTCAAATTTGATCCTCCAAGTTTTTTTTGCAGATCTACTCCTCAAAAAAGTCAATAAAAGTTTGAAAAATTGGCGCGAGTGCGTGTGTCGGCGTCTAATTTGTTTAATTTCTTTATTTTCTGTTCCGAGACATTAAACAATATCTCAGAACGGGTAAAGTTTAAGAAACGAAATGTGGCACTGTAGCTGGCGTATAAAGGGGCATTAATGCTATTAAAAAATAAATAAAATTCGTCTCTACCCTCAAAGTAAGCTTTTTTTGTCATTTTATAATAGTACAGTAAAACCCGTTAAGACGTTCTCGCCTAAGATGTTAGACTGTATATGGGGACACGATCTAGTTCGACCACTTTGACGCTTAATAACTAACTCCCGTTTTGTTTTCCGAAACCGTGTTTTAGTATTTCTGAATACTAAAACACGGTTTCAGAAAGCAAATCGATTAAGAGTTATTGGTTATAGAAACGGCGAGTTCCATCGAGAAAAGAAAAATAACGTATACGGTTTAACAAATCGATACTACATACATCGCGAGGATACGAGTACTGACGAGGGGCTAAGTACCCGTACAAACCGAATAAAGATGGAAAAAAGCCAAGCGTTTAATTAATAACACAATCTTGCGTTTGACAGTCAAAAACTAACTCCCGCGTTAACCATCCGACTCGGATTTAAAAACCGCAGAAATTATTAGGCTTCGAACGGGGTAAACGAAATCGTGCCCCCCACACGCGGTCTAACATCCACACGTATAGAAAAAAACCTCCAATCTTTTGCGTATTTCGAAATTTCGACGTGTTCCGAGTCCAAAATTGTAAAAATTTTCGACCCAGCGCTATACTTTCCCTTTGTTATATACAGGGTGGGCCGACGAAAACGAAACGGCAGAGTTATCGCGTTGGTCCAAGCAAATCGCTCGGACAGATCGATTTTATTTTTCAACAATAAAGTTTTTGCCATTCTGAATACAACAGGCAACAAAAATTTTAAAAACTCATTCATTTTTTATTAACTAAACAAACATTTATTTCAAATAAAGCAACAAAAATAAGAAAAAGTTATCGAGCATTCAATACATGTTCGAATCGAGCACCACATCTCCGTAGATTCATTTCTTAGCGGACGTTGGCGTCTTTTGTTAGCCACAGAACCCGTTAACTGAAACTTTTGAACCAACCGCAGAACGTATTTTGCATTACAATATTTGGATAGCGTGGATGAAATAAATTTGCAGTAAGATAAGCATTGTCGCCATTTCTGAAATGAAGAGTTACTATTTCTACGCTTTCAACAATTGTGTAAACCGTAACGATTACGTTGTACAAAATTCATAATAAACAAATAATAACCTTAAATTCTGATTGAATCCTTAAGTGGTCGAGCTTAATGCCAACCCTACAAAAAAGAACATCTGGAAACAGATAACACACTATCAGCCTTCATTTTATCATCTATTTTTTCTCGCATATGCGGTCCAGCTTAAAAGGTTTTTTTACCTTTGTTAATACTGTAGTTTGCGTTACTTTTTTCCGAAATAAATGTTTGTTTAGTTAATAAAAAATGAACGAGTTTTTAAAATTTTTGTTGCCTGTTGTATTCAGAATGGCAAAAACTTTATTGTTGAAGAATAAAATCGATCTGTCCGAGCGATTTGCTTGGACCAACGCGATAACTCTACCGTTTCGTTTTCGTCGGCCCACCCTGTATAAGAGCCGGAAAAGTAAAATCGAATACATATCTTAAAATCATAATCATAAAACTTATCGAATACATATTTATATATTACTCAGATAAGTCTTATAGCTTTGGAATAAAAAGTTTCCACGTTCTATCTTTGTTAGAACTCTGTTTATCGAATCTTTTATTCCCAGGTCACCCGATGACACCAGAATTTCCGGGTCTCTTTCGGTAACACGTCGGTAGATTTTTACGCCTCTCCGCAGCCCCGATCTGAACGATATTAAATGATTTAGACTCTAAATGATTTAATAATTAATTAGTCGCGTTATAGCCGGTAACGATGCCGCGTATCGTTTAATTATTAACGGATGTCGAGTGGTAAATAATAATAAAATTACCTCTTACGTAAATAATAAAGACGATCATCTGAAAAAGAAATTAAATAGCTGTAAAATTCGAATGGACCGCGGTAAAAATGCTGTAAAAAATACTTACGCCGAGAACAGTTACGGACTTCATTTTTTACGCTAGACCTAAGATATATTAAAAACGATATAAGAAGTGGCTTATAGACGGACATTGTACGTATAAACTTATTTTTGTAGCAATTTGTAATAAAATTTGCTAAGTAAACGGAAGCAAATTTGAATTTTAGACCAAGCGCGACGATTCTTGGCATTTAAAATAAACGAATGGAAAAATAATCCAACTTACCGGATCGGACGCAGTATGTAATTCGATGCCGATATTTACCACCTTCTTATAATTTCGTATCTCTTTACATTTGTGCATTCTCACGCGCTCGTTTATCTTTTATTGATAAAAATTGATAATTGTTTAATAATTCCACCAGGCGGTGTTTCTACCATGTCCGGAACACTAACAGGACCTTTTAATTACAAGGGCGTACGCGGAAAACTTGGCGGATCGGTCGAGCCACGCGGTGTCTCTCGAAAGTCGATTGTTGGCAATATTTAAATATCGATTAATATTACGAAAAAAGTATAAAATATGATTTAAAACCGATTTATATCAGTTTATATATGTTACCGCTAAAGCTGGAAACTCGTTCATCTGCGGATTAACTAGCGTGATCCGTTAAAGTTGTAAAAATTGTTCCATTTCTCAAATTACCTAGGTAATCCGCGCATTACCTACTAGGCACTCGGTAAAGTGAAAACAAGCTCTTTGCCACAAATAAATGTACCACAAATAGGCGCGCTTGTGGCAGAAACCAATTGCTACGAAATTCAAAGCGTCACCAATCTTTAGACTGCGCAATTGGATAATGTTACCTATGGTGGGTAAAATGGCGGCTGGTCTCCGATTCCAGCAAAGAGAAGAAAGGAAACAGTGGAGACGCGCGTTCAAACCTAACCTAACATATTCTAATAATTTGGTTGGTAATAATTATGGTAATTTATGAAAATAGGTTAGGTTAAGACAGAACGTGCGTCCCCACTGTTTCCTTTCTTCTCTTTGCTGGAATCGGAGACCAGCCGCCATTTTACTGACAGTAGGTAACGTTAACCGCACAATTACATCACGCCATCGCCAGAAAAAGTATGATAACTTTATTATTTTTCGTCTCCGGTCCAAAAGTAGGGTATGGTCGAAGTCGTCTCGGTCCCTCAGTTCAGATAGATACTCAAAGTGCCGAAATGTATAATAATTTCCCTAATTGTATTAATATTTTAAATCGTTTGATTTTTTGTATGTTTTTTAATTGGTCGATGATTGATTCTATCGACTAATTTGTCGATTGTTTGATTGTATTAACTCGATTCTTTAGATATCGAAAATTAAATAAAGAACATTATGTTAATTTAAGCGCACAGAAACGTCGCTGTTGTTTGGGCAAAGATGTTATTTTCACTTTACCGAGTGCCTAGTAGGTAATTTGCGGATTACCTAGGTAATTTGAGAAATAGAACAATTTTAGCAACTTTAACGGATCACCCTAGTTAATGCGCGGATTAACGAGTTTCCGAGCTTTAGCGGTAACATATACATAAATTGCGCCTTTAGCAATTAAATATAAATACGAGATTGCCGATTCGAAGGAATCGCGCGTACGCTAAAATTCTTTTAAAATTCTAATGTTTTACCGTTTTGAGGCTAATTTATCCTATAAAAGTAATTACGTTTAATTATTGTTAAAATAAATAACATTTATTTATAGACGTAACGGGAAATTATACATCCGATTGTGAAGAAGAGTGCGCTTATTATCCCAACCCGCGGTGTAATTATTGGTAGATAGGTGTAGATATAGATTGTTAAATTTTATAATTCAATTTTTTATATCGTACGTGTATAAAAATTTAACAACGAGGTTTTCTATAGTTTTACTTGTTTATTAATATGATTATGTTACAAATGCGAGAAGAATTACGTTACCACGCAATTTCGTAGCAAAAACGTATCCTACATACACTTATTTCATCTCCTCTCTAATCTCGATTTTATTTAAATACAGTGGTAACTCGTACTTCGAACACTTAAGAGTTCGAACGCTAAATTTGACAAAATTCGAACAAATGTTTTCGGTGCTTTTTTCTCTTTATTTTCGACGCGTTTGGTTACGTATATCGCGTGATTTTCGTCAATGTTTAACAATTTCTATTAATTCGATCGCCTTTATGTCCTTAATTTTATAATATTCGATATAAGCCAGACGGGTCGATAATAATAAGCGCACAGCCCAAACGGTTAGGAGTCGAAAGTCGAAATTTGGTACGCAGTTAGGGTACGTGGCCAGAATGTAAACTAAGATGGGATTTTTGGAAATTCCCCCGTGGAGGAGAAGGAGAAGGTTAAGGATTATTCCGAAGAACTCGGATTCTACCCTACTGTTTTAGATGCGGCTTTTGTGTTTTTGCCGGAAATCGAACTTATTTTTAGACCCATCTAACAATTGTCTAATTATTGTGGGAAGAGGGCCAACCTAATTCTCGCACCCGGTGAAAACGGGTAAGACGGACTATAATGGAATAATCTTAATCTTCGCTATGGTTACTTTTTGCCCGAGCAACGCCGGGCTCGTCCGCTAGTAATACCGCGTTTCCCCCAAAGTAAGACCTAGCAAAGTTTTTTTACTCGAAACTGTCATGGACGGTCGGTCGAAAGTGGCCGCTGGCTTTTTGAAATTACAGCAGACGTCTAATCACGCCACGCGGCACGATTTGCGTAAGACTATGGCTCGGGAATCACAGATTTGCGTAACGTTACGGCTGGTGACGGCTAATTGGTCGGCCGGGAATCACGCCGCGTGGCATTTGCATAGTGCTACGGTTCGGTAAGCGCTAATTGGTCATCGAGCCCGATGTCGACGCTATAAAAAGGTTAAATTGAAGCGCGAATGGGAAGGGGCCGAGCGGTCTTTGTACTCCGAACACCGGGTTGGCGCCGCGATCGGACAAGCTGGATGCTCGGAGTTTTCCGGGTTTTCTCCTGGCCAATAACGACTATATAGGAGGGCACTTCCCCATAAAAGTCCTCCGGGAAGGCATTCTTTCCCCGCACGCGTTTAGGCTGTTCGGATACGGCTGGCTCGTCGGTGGCGTAGCGATCAATAACGTCATTCGGAGAAAGAGCCTAAATAGAGCTAAAATTCTCCATATGAAACTGAGAGAATGGGAAGTTCGACACCAGAGCGGTAGAGCTTTTAATTTTCAAGTAAAGGAATTTAAAATCGATGAACGAATGAAATCATTATCTTACAAGTCGTTTTAATAAAAGTAACGTTAAAAATTGTACATTTGTTGCTGGAAGCTGATCTTCAACATCTATAAAGTTGTCGTGGAAAGTAGTCGGGATAACAAGAAGTAGTTTTTCTTTTTTCTGTTATCTTCTAACTCGTCTAGCCGGTCTTCACCCGCAAAGATTAACTATGGTCAAGCGATTAGTATTTTGGGATATACGTCACTCTCGTCTAAGTTCGACTCGTGAATGTTTTTGTTCGATAATAAATGCGAATTCTTCTTGGTGGAAAAATAAGACCTAGCGCACTTTTCGGAGCAAAAATTAATATAAGACGCTGTCTTATTTTCGGGGAAACACGGTATAATAAAATAGTATAATACGTCGACTAAGGACTTACCGTATTAAAAGGACTATTATACCGGTGTGCCGATTTTTGCAAAGGAGCAATTCTTATTGAGACAAAGTAAATTTTTATTTTTCACCCGTTGTTTTTCCGGTACACGCGANGGGGCTGTGGACGTGACTTATTTACGAAGAGCTGACGCGCATTCGCGGCGGACGGTGGTGTGGCTTGGATTTCCCTCCGTTTGTATGCATTATATTATTGTCAACTAAGGACTTATCGTATTAATGGGACTATTATACCGGTGTGCCGATTTTTGCAAAGGAGCAATTCTTATTGAGACAAAGTAAATTTTTATTTTTCACCCGTTGTTTTTCCGGTACACGCGATATTTGTGTTTCGGACCACTCGGTCCCTCTTCGGCCGGCTTACCACAATCGTATAATATTTTTAAAAAATTACGATACTTTAAATCCCGACAATAACGTATTCAACTTAGTTTTCTCGTAGCTCGTTACACGAAAATATGCACAAATCACATTCGGAAGAATGACAATTATTGTGTATTAAAAAGTTAAAACTTATTTAAAATTGTCGTTAAAATAAATTTAACTTACGCATCCGTCGTCGTTCATTACAACGCGCCAATTACATTTATTTTTTCGCATGGCCTCTTACTACCGTCGTCGATTATAGCGTAGTGTTCCGCCATGGGTGGATTTCTCGTCTCGAGTTTTTTCGCGTTATACCACTCCCAACGCGTCGATCTCACGCGCTACCGTCTCTCGCTCCGACGTCAAATCGGTAGACTCGCGCGCTTTGAGTGGAGCGTGCGGGATGGATACGCGAAAGCGATAGGCTATTCCCAGCGCCATCGAAGCGTTGGAAACAGCCCAAAGGCGGTTATACGATATCATTTATATTATTATTAATATAGATTATTAAGAGCGTAGCCATTATATTAAGATTATTAATTAATCGGAGGTGTTAAGTTGGTCGAACAATTTAAGATATAGGTGAAGGAAGAAAACTGAAGAAAGGATTAAATTAAAATACTCACTTTTTTTTTCATTCCCCGACACACGCATTTAATTTTGAACTAATTCTTTGCACGTATCGAAATGTTTTTTCCGGTAAATTGGTTGTCAAATTTTCCACCGTCGTCGGTGGTTCCCGCCTCCTATATCGCTATAACGCGCAAACTAAGTTAGTCACCGGATGTTACCCGTACCGAGTCTCGTACAATTTTAAGTATTATAACCTTTTCATGTCCATATCGATCAGCGCAATCCGAAATGCATTTTGGTTATTTGGCGTTAATTACTCGTCTAATCGAGCGTTAACCTTGTCTTACTAAATGTACTACGTCGATACTCGAGCGTTGGCGCTTATTATCGCTGGTGCCGCCAGTCCTTATTATCTATCCCGCGTTAGTAGATGCGTTTCTATTTCGACACTCGGCGGGATTGCGTCTTTATTTAGTCGTTCGCATCTGGTGTTAGCGAATCGAAGAAATTAAGACAACGCGGTTTCGGAAGATATTTAATTCGTTTAATTAAACCGGGGTCTAAAAGCGATTTGTAATAATTGAGCCGTTGGCGGGCCAAATCGACAAACTCCTTTTGTAAATCCTTAATATAATCGTGGTTATTTTCAAATTTTATATATGGTTATATACATCCTGCAATGTTTATTTAAAGTTGAAAGGGAATTTAACAAAATAATTTATATTATCAATTTTTATTTTGCGGAGTTAATCGATTTGGTAAGTCGGCCGCCCGTTTACCATCGAATGGTTATAGTAACGTTGTAAATAATCCCACGGCGCTTAACGGTATAGGTAACCGAGTGTCCTTTCCAGGGTCTGACTCGAGACTACCGACGACGTCAGTTCTAGAACTCGAAACTAAGAGCCCGGGTTGTTGTCGATTTTATTGGATTGCCTATTTATGCAGATACGTTGGTATAACCGTCTTTTAAAGTTGTTACTTTCCCTTTTCTTTATTTTTATCCTACCTTAATGTTACCTATGGTTCGTTTCGTTTCCGTTAGATTAGCTACATTTTTAGTAGACGTTTCCTTTTTTTTATTTATTTTCTTCGAGAACTACCGCGAATCGATAACTCGGCGGCTCCCCTCCGGGAGGAATCCGTCTGGACCGCGCGGCCATTTTGGAACCATAGGTAAATTAACGTTTCCGATTGGTTTGAAATTCTCGTCGATGTTATTGGGCTGTAATGGGACGTGACTTATTTACGAAGAGCTGACGCGCATTCGCGGCGGACGGTGGTGTGGCTTGGATTTCCCTCCGTTTGTATGCATTATATTATTGTCAACTAAGGACTTATCGTATTAATGGGACTATTATACCGGTGTGCCGATTTTTGCGAAGGAGCAATTCTCATTTCACATATGTCAAATAAATTTAAATACTTATTGTATTTAAATTTATTTCACAATAATATAATAAAATAGTTTAACAATTCTTGTTCCGGTTCTTCTTCGTCCACGCTCTTGGACAACAGAAGTTTTTAAACGGAAACCTGTTCGGATAAAAATAGATTTTTTTCTTAACTTTCTCAATCTTGTGGACACTAAGACGTTCTTTTTTAAATGCCCGCGGTGGATTCGACCGGACTGATCGACGAATTGTATCGTCCCTCTCTTTCGTCGAGTCATTCTTGTAAGAACCGGATATTATCCGAATCTTACAGTGGCGAAACGCTAAGACTCGGATCCTTCGTATCGATACGCTGACTTAATCAACAACGGAAAAACACCGAAAGTACGTAAATATTTATTAGCGTGTGGTTAAAGGGATTGGTCAAAATTCCGATAAATCGGGACACGCGTAGTAGCGCAGTCAGACTGCTGAACGCATTAGTCTACTCCTCGACTCCTGGAAGAAAACCAAGAATTTTTAGTGTAGTTTAGTTATCCGGTGGAGCATTTAAAAATATAGCGCCTCTAGGCCCACAATACGCCAGCTCCTTCCCAACTAATTGTGCCATTTTTGCACCGAATAATTTTAATGCTGCTGTAATTGTCATTCACGCATACAGGAAAAAATACCCGAATACCCGAATCGCATTTCTCGACGTTTCCGAGTGTCCCGAGTCCAAAAATGTAAAGATCCCGGGGGTAAGGGGTAACTTTTTGACCGATGGCCATACTTTTCTTCTGTTATATATAACAGCCTGGAAAATAATAAGCATTTATCAGAAGATTTTTTATTTTTTCCGATGTTTTCGGCTGTTGGCGCAGACATCGTCACGATATAACGATTAGAATAAAAACCGAATGCCCAATTTAAAAATTAAAATAACAAATTCGTAACAGGCAATAAGAACACTCGAAAATAATTTAATTAACAGTTAAGAATAATATAAAATGCTACGATTATACAGCGTAGAAGCCCGATTAGCCCAGACTCGACCGAGCCGAACTACAATAATATACATTTGTCTTCTTACTGTATTAGCTGAAAAATAAATGACGAGAAAATTGCCGTTCTTACGTACGAATAAATTCGCTAGATATAAAAAGCAGCAAAATATAAATTATATCTAAACAATTCTTTTGTATTCTAATTGTTAATCCTACGTGGCCGTCGCCGTCCGTTTTATGCACGTGACCATCGAATAATCGCGGTCCTATCTTTAAACCCGACCGAAAACGCTAAAAGCGTATGTTTTCCGCCAGTCTGTTACGGATTTGACACGGCCGACAATAAAAGAGCAGTCGGATGACGAGGGAGGGAACTGGAATCCGCGGATAGGCCTATATTGAGATATATCCCACTGGCGAAAATTTCCTAGTTAATCCGCACCGGATTGGCCTAATAATTATTACTTAAATAATGACACTAAAATGATAGTTAACGGTGCCGTAAAAATGAGCGTTAATACGATTAACGACGAAATAATAAATAGTGTCGTCACGAATAATACATTTTTCACCCGAGTTCGACCGTCAGACCCGGAAATTATCGCGTAACGCAGATTAACGAATAAAATATCATTCATTTTAATCGAAAGATAAAATAGTGATGTGAAAAATTGCATTTGTGTGGGAGATGCGAAAATATAAGAAGACGGCGGCACCCTGGACCAAATTATATATCGTCCGCAACCCGTAAGTTACATTTAACTTTTACAATATTAAAAGCTACAAACGAAATAATTTTCGTTTTCCACGTACTTTTACAGTTAGATTTTGAGAATGAAGTCGACGATTATTCTCCTCGGCGTAAGAAATTATTGAAATTATCAATATTTTAAAAAATATTATATAAAATTTTCACCACCTCTCGCTTCTTTAACAGATTGCAGCGTTTCTTACTCACGTAAAAGGTATTTAATTTTAAATTTTGCCGCTATTTAGATATAAATATCTAAAAATTACGTATCCATACTCGTCCGCAATTTCAAGCCGAAACCGAATGCGAAAAACACCGAAAGAGAGAACTGGATCACCAAGCTATAGGATTAGTCATCCCGGAATGTGACGAAAATGGCGATTACCAAGGACTTCAATGTCACAAGGATCATAGTTTTTGTCAGTGTTGGGACAAGAAGGGTCATCCCCTGACTTCACCGTCCAGAAAAATCAAAGCTTGCCAATGCGTTAGAGATAAAGTTTCCGCCGAAAAAGACAGTAAGAATTGCATCGGTTTTAAAATAGTATATACTTAGAAAGAGTGCCGAAGATTTTCTATATTTCTTTATAGATTTAGTGGGTTCTTACGTCCCTCAGTGCAGAGTCGACGGAACGTACGAACGAATGCAATGTTGGGCCAGCACGGGAGCTTGTTGGTGCGTGGATAAAGACGGCAACAAACTTACGAAAGAGACGAGAAATAAAATCGAATGCCAAGAATAGCTATTATTTGTATTCCGAACACAAGTTGCTTAACAAATTTATAACGAAAACCGCAGTTAAAATATCGACTATCTTATAATTGACGGAATGTACGAAAAATGCATTTTTCAAATTATTTGTAAAGTTATTTTTATAATTGTACAACACTTAAAATAAAGTCGAACAATAGAGACTCGTAGGTTGTAAATAACGTTTAAGCGTGTCATTTCTATTGCCAGACCGGTTTGGGATAAGGACCAATAAAAGCTGCGTTTACACTAGTTACACAGAGGGCTGGTAAAATGAAACTAATTTCTGTCATTTAGCTTATAAAGTTGGGCGGTTTATCCAAGCCCGTCGAGCCAACACGGCCAGTTTTTTGGTTTTGCCAAGTGTCGATTCGACCGATTTGAAGAAAATGTCAAAATCGATACGAGTTGTGACCGAGGCCGAATTTTAAAATTCGATTTACAACGACAGATATCCGGGCTCAAATCGGGTAACTGAATTAAAAAGGTGGAAACGACCATCGACATTTTTAATTACAACGTTTATTTCTTAAGTCGAAGGACGTTTTAGAACAAATGTAAGAATGCGGAGGGACGAGTGGCTGTAATTTAGCTGTATTAATGTAACGCCGGTTAGCCAACCGCCATTGCGCCGGTCACAGACCCACTTCTCCTCCGTTGTAAAACCTTTATTCCGCTGCTTACCTGTCGGAGAGCTTTATTTTTTTTTACTCGCCTATTATTACGCGTAAAAAGATAGACGGGCGCGTCTATCTCCTTACGCGTTATAATAGGTAAGTAAATGTCCGACGTTTTCCCATTTGTCCCAAGCCGCGGAGAAGTCGTTGGTCTTCCCGACCAATGGCTCGGGCAATTGGGAATAAACCAGATTTTGATACCGGGAAAATTTGGCGATAAATGTCGACGATGCGTTGCCAGAAGAGGGCCTACCTACGGGTCGGTCCCCCATCCCAGTACGGAACGTGGAAGAAACTCGGAAAATGATAATTATCGCCAACCGGAATAATTTTTAGTGTCGTTAATTTTAACGGCGGTTTTCGCAAGTTTTCTCCAATAACTACCAGCGATATCGTGGCAATTTTAAATCTCTTACGCGTAAAACGGTACTTACGTTTAGGCTCGTAGTCTTTACAAAGGTTGGGAAATTTAAAGACATTATAATGGGTGCGGCCGTGCCTTCCCACGTGGCGGTTAATAAGTAAAGGTTGTATCGGGTCGAGTAGAAAGTTTTCGCGTATTGTCCGATTGTCCGAAATAAATGCGAAATTTAACGCGTCGTCGTCGCCTCTGCCAGATATCGTTCTTTGTTTTAGAATGTTTAGTTTAAATTAAACGTTACTACGTTACAAGTAAACGTTAAGGGGTGTCGAATCGCATTCGTTTTCGCGCTGGTGACCCTATCCGCGCTCCGAAACAAAGGTGCGTATCGAAGCGGAATTTAATTTTGAAGAATTTTTGAAAAGTCGTTAATCCGCCAAGCAAAAGTCGTCCGAACACGCGGCGCGTTTCGGAAAACTTCGGGTACGTCGTATCGTATCCAACGAATGCTAGGCCTACTTCATTACGGAACGCGCGTTTTGTGTTTCGTAACGTACGCCACCGACATATTTTCGCATTCTCCGAGCGTCGGGGCCGGATGGCGGCCTACACGAACGACACAAATGTCTGTTTTGAAAAGATTCGTAAACGAGATGGTTTTCTCTTCCGTCGGGCGAGTGTATATAATAAACGAACAAACAAAAATATATTGCTTTTTATACGGCGATTGCCAATTCTAAAATCTAAAGAAAATGCCGGGCGGGGCCCCGTAAGAGAAAAATGTATACGTGTCTGGAAAATAAATATGGCGGCCGACGTCGTTTGCGTGGGAAGCGTAAAGAGACGCGCTTTATTACAAAACGAACGGATTGCCTATATACGAAATTCGAATTTACTCCGACTTCGTAACTCGATGGCCGGGATATCCGGATTAGCCAGAGTCTAACGTATTTCGCTAAGACGGAAACTTAGATTTTCTAACCATTTATTTATTTCCTTTCTTTACTCCTGGCGATACGGGAGGGTTCACCCGTACTTAAATGTATAACGGTATCCGCGGTCCTTTCCATTTCTTACTCGAATATTTGCCCACTTAGAAAATTCTCATAATAATATTCGTTTAGTAAAAGCGATAAAATATTATCGTAGATAAATAAAGAGGCCGAGGACGTGGAAGGAAACATCTGAATAACGAAGATACGTGGCGTTTTAATAATTACATTCGAGATGTTTTTCTTTTTAGTAATAATAAAATTGATTTACCCTTAACTCGTTGGTTGGGATCCGAGTGTCTCCGCGCCGTTAGAGAACGATAGAATCCGGTGGATACGTCTTTGCTTTTCGGCCGTGGCCTTAACCAACCCCCCTTTTTTTCTCTTTATTTCGTAAAATACGCCCGGGTTGGGGTTTGCGCGCTTAAGTTTGGAGTAGCGGATCGAGAAATTCGTAGGTCTCGAGGCTATCGCTTTAATTAATTAATTCAAAACAATTTTAAAAAACCCATCCGGTGCTCGCCGACACGCGCCGTTTATTTATACTGTACTGTTTTATTATTAATTAACGAAAATAGCCTTCCGTACGCGTAGCGGTATTCAGTTACCGCTACGCGTACTTTATTTAATAAGCCGCTACGCGGCTTATTAAATTACGTCGGTTACGCGGCATTCGACGTGCAGTACGTACAGAAATACGTAAAACTCGGAGAATTTCGGACTAATCGGGATTTTCTACCAATGTTTTTTATTAAGAATTAAATTTAGAAGCCGGATTATCGAACGTTCCGGATTACCGAGTTTAATACTCGGTAAAGCGGAACGCTCGATATCGTCCCACACCCCGCGTAAAAGTAGCCGTTATCCGAAATTTTTCTATAATAATCCGAAACGCCGAAATTCCGCCCGTCGATATTTTTTGGAATTACGAATAAGTTCGACCGTACGTTAAACGCCGCTTACTTTTAAAAACTCCTAGAAGAATGGGATTCGGTACGGGCCGGATACCGGAAGTTTTTCGGTGGGCGGTTCGTTCCGGATACGTCTCGGAGCGCGGCCGGACGGCGAACGACCGCTTCGAAAATTCCGGACCCGGCCGAATCCGTAATCGGCCGGCCAAAAAACGTCGTCTTAGCTTCCGAGGGGAGGAAAGATTTAAGGAAGAGAAAAAAAATCCGCGACGAAAACCCGGATATATTATTTACTAGCTGTTACCAGCGGCTTTTGCAAGCAAACCCCATTTATATTCGGTATTTCAACAACCATAGTAATTGTTATATAACACCTACCGCCGAGAATGATGCGAATTGCCGAGAATCGAACCAACTATTTTGAATTTGATCAATTTTCTGCAACGTTTACAATCGTTCTATAATCGAACCGATACGCGATAACAAATTCGAATTTAAAACAGTTCTAACATTTAAAAAATCAAAAAATATAAAAATATTTATAACAATGTCCGAAATGTTATTAATTTAATACACCTAAGTACTCGATGAAGACTAAATTCTCTCCCTCTCCCTCCCGTGTAGGAATTTCGAAAAATCCCTTCTTAGTGCGCGTTTTCACCACATACCCTAACTGCGTACCAAATTTCACCTGTAGGTTCAGCGGTTTGCTCCGGGCGATGATGGATCAGTGAGTGAGGCGGGACAAGTAATTTTATATATTTAGATTATTATTCTTATTCGTTGGTTCGTTTCGCCTTCGGGACAGAAATAATAATAATTTAAAATTTGTTACGCGCGTTATTTGAAAGTAGATTTTCGTAAACGCCTTCTTAACTATTTTCCGTATCCGCGCGACGATCGAAATGCCGTTCGTCCACTGGTAACGCGTAATTCGTATATTTTTGGATTTTAGTCGGATCGGCACGGACGTAAAATACCCCAGTCGAATTTTTCGTATGGTAAATACAAAAAATCGCGAGAATACGTCAATTTTATCCCGGAACCCGGTTTTTGTCTCAATTCCGCGTATTAGCCATAGACCTAATTATATCGGATTCCACCTTTATCCACCGGGATTCGATACCGGATACCGTTAACGGAAGGGGAACCGTACGCCGATGGACTATATTAACGTCCGCAATGTCGCTCTTTATAAATAGATGGGAATAGGACGGAGCGGGCTAGGATTACAGAGGAATCGAATGAAATTCCCGTTCGAATTCGAACCCGGAGTATTAATAACAAATAAATACATTGGCGCGCATGTGATTAAAATAATAATTGGACGTTATTTATTTTCTTGGCCGATAATTTTCATTTTCGTAAGTAAGAAAGCGATTCGATCGATTAAGTAAGGCGGCAGATGTTTTGGTTTACGCGGGTTAAGATAAGATTAAGATTAAAAAAGCCGGTCCGAGAACGAAACCGGTGCTAGCAGATAAATTTTTCCTATAAAACCGCGTAGGAACGTACGTCGTTCTTCTCGCATCGATAATCCAGTAGAAGTAAAGACGATTCTATCTTTCATTTTTTATACATACGTAAATATAATTTTAGGATGAAGACCTCGGTGGCTTTCCTGGTCAGTTAATCGTTTATCGTATTTAAATAACAATTATTAAAAATAATTTTTAATTTTCGAAAATTGCTGGAAAATGTTTTCTATTTTTAGTGTTTGGCAGCTGTTTTAGGCAGCGTTTTATCCGACAAAAGTATGTCGATGGTTTCCGCATTTATTTAAGTACAATGGTTTTAGCCGACTTTAATTGGGTTTCAATATTACAGCGGCCTGTCAGATTTCCAGAGAGAAGGCTTTAGAAGAGAACAGCCTGGTCAAAATCGTGCCGGAATGCGACGAAAACGGCCAATACGCGCCCAAACAATGCTTTCCCGGCAATAAATTTTGCCAGTGCGTCAGAAAAGACGGCAGCGCCATCGTCGAGATGTCCGCCGTCATCAAACATTGCGAATGCTTGAGAGCTCGCGATCTGGCCGTCAGTCGTCGTCAGTAAAGTTTTCTACGTTTCTCGTCCAACCTTAATTACTTATAACTAAATAACGTTTATTTCCAGATCTGATAGGAAATTACAAACCTCGCTGCGAGGAAGACGGAACGTACAGCCGTACTCAGTGCTGGGGATCCGTCGGTAGTTGCTGGTGCGTCGACGAACGCGGAAACAAATTGTTAGATAAAAACGTTATGGATTGCTAATTTTCATTTATATAAATGGTTATTTAAATGTAAATAGAGTCGTAAATCCTTAAATTATACGACGTATATTAAAAGGATTTTTAAAGACTTTAACTGCGTTATAACTCTTTTACCATGGCCACCGATTAATTATTCGGTGTTTCCGCCGTAATTAAATATTATCTTTACGGTTGTGGACATTTTTCGTTAACCTTAAAAATTACTTATTTTTAAAGTATTTAATTTCTTTGTATTGGGATTGGTACTTGGATCGAATGCGACGAAATCGTCTTTTCCAACTGTTAAGGTTAAAATATAATGCCGAGCGCCATTTATAAAATACTCCACCGGTTTCCGACTGCGCTCGATATTCGTTTCCGACCTCCTAAATTCCATATTATTATTGGCGATGGAAACGAACGCTTTCTCCTTGGCGTCCGGCGTGTCAATTTCGAGTCTCGTCTTTTCCCGTATACCACCAGCCGGTCTTCTATCGACTTCCATCCCACGATTAAAATTTTACATCACCGCCCTACCTGTTGCGGCAAAAAGTCCGCGTTTAAGTCTAAATCTTTACGTTAATTCGTAGAAAACATTCTCCGCGTTACTCGACGTTAATATTTCTATTGATTCCGTGGCTTTTTCTTTAATTTCTGTGGCGCGCCTTGCTCGAATTAGACGTCTCCGGGTTTTATTCCACGGTAAACTTACTTTTGGCCATGGTATTAATAATTTAATTAAACGTCGATGGTTGGCCACGGTGGTTCTCGACCGGGGGAACGCGTACCCCTAGGCGTACCAGCGTAAATCGAAGAGGTACTGTACGTCCAACTTTCGTTATAAAACGGCGCGCGTTAACGAATTTGCCGTAAATTATTAACGCGAGAAACGACAAAAACTCGCTTTAAAATATCCCGATACGAACACCGAGATCCCTTTTAACGGTCCAAACGACTGGTTGGTCCGCTCGATTTGCGCCGTTAGTGCCCAGTGAACCCGTAGTCTAGTAAAATTTCGATTTAACCGCGCGTTAATTTTAGATGTCGGCGGATCGACGGTACTTTTAGTTTACGCGAAATATCGGTACAACCGCCAGCTTGGCCACCACCTAAAAATATATTTTCAGTAAAATCGATGATTTCGTTGCAAGTAACGAAATAGCCATCGACATCCGCGCCCATGCGGCTAAAGCTGCGATTTAAAAGGTCCGAAGAAAACTTTTACCATTTTAACCACGTATTCGTGAGAAAAACTAAAAAAGTCGGCAGAGAACCAAATTTTGAAAAAATCACCCAAGATTTATGGCCACAAATATCCCATTAAATTGTTAGAAATTATTGTAGAATAATTCAAATTTTCTTTGTCCTTAATTATTATTATTTATTTTTTTAGGAAACGTAAAATAAGTAATCCACTTTTAGTTATAGTTAGTTAGTGAGAGTTTTTTTTATGGCGCTCGGTTACGAGGCTGTATACGTTTAACGCGGTAATAAAATTTACCTACAAAAGTATAAGGGCTACTCGAGAAACGACTAACGGAGTAATGGGGTACATGGACAAAAAAGGTAGAGAACCGCCGATTGACCATATACTACGGCGTCGTCGTTCAAAAATTTGAATTAATTTAATACATTTAGAACATAGAATTAATTTAAGCACTCTTTTTCCGCATATTTTCGATCATTAATACGTTTATAAGGGAGTCGAAAGTCGCTTAACACCCTTATAAAATTGCACCGAGTCGGGCGTGGGAATTTCGACGCGTAAAATACTCGTCTCTAAGTATAACGCGTTTCTATGGCGACCAAAGTTTCTCCGCCCAACTTAGTTCTACTTTACCAGGGTATTGACCGATTTAAGCCGGCCGACGACGGTTTACAATTTGGCCAAGCTACGCCAGTCCCTTAATAAAGTCTCCTCGGTGTTTTACACTTTCAGAAATTTCACTTATACGCCACTTATTAGTTGGAAGTTATTCGCTCTCGAAAACTGCGTCCTTCTTTTAAATACGTGGTCTACTTTCCTCCGACTATATTTGTATTAAGATAATATTAAGGGTCGAAAACGTTAGCGTAATGAATAACGCTGGTCAAACGTTAGGCGGTGCTGCCATTGTATTCGTTTTCCATCATTTATTAATAATAGACGATCCGAAACTACCCAACCATGGCTTATTTAATGTTTCTTTATTCGCTGGGTTGCCGGGTTCGTCGCGGAGGTCGAAAACGTTCTTCGTTTTAAATACGATACATTTATACGTTGGCGCTTTAATTTTTATACTTTTATCGTTTAAAGAATACATATTTTTTCTCGTACCTACGTTAGACTTTTTAACGCTTTGTCACTATAATTATAGCAATTTTGACTTTTATATATTTTAGCCTTTTATTTATTTATACAAATATCTTTGCACAATTTATCGTTTTTCTTTTTATTTGGGTATTTGCATTCGCTTGGGGAGTAGGCCGCTTCCTGGCTGGTAAAGGATGCGAGATAAATAAGTAAGAACTCGAGAAGTTGGCCTATGTTTTTATTTTAGTTACTGTATAAGCCAAACAAATTAGCAATAGCCAGAAATATTAAATTGCCTAAAACTTTTAATTACGTTTCGTCGTTACGTGTTTCCGCCGTGTGGTAACGACGAAACTACTTACACCTTCCGCGGTCGATTTTACTCAAAAACTCCGCGTATTCTCCTTTTCGTCTTCTCTTTTAATGGCGATTAGTAATAAATAATTACATCGGCTATACGGGTATCCCCGGCTTAACGCGCCCGTGCTTAACGATATCCGTGTTAAGTAAAGATGGCTTTAACGGCCATCTTTACTTAACACGGATATCGTATTCCACTAAAGCCATTTTGATTTAGGCGGTGGAATTAATTAACCGCGTTAATCGAAGGATACCTCTACGATAATCGAGTATATCGTAAGGCAGCTTCAAACTTTTCTTTCGTACGGTATAAAGACATTTCGGAAACACTTTAGAACCGAGCGAAGGCAGTTTGGCGTAGAATAATACATCGTACCCGACTCCGCATAATATATAATAGGGCAAAGCTTGGCTCGTTCGTCTCTAAATATCGGTAGCGTATTCGAGGCGCACGGACATGGCTTAATAAGAATAAACGGAACAGCGTACGTTTACCGAACTCTCGTACGCGTAACCAGGCGGAATTTTCTTATTTTAATTAATAGAATGAAAACCTTAATAAATTGTAAATAAAAATCAAATGTAAATATATCGTTATAAATATTAAAATGTAATAAAGCTAATAATTAATACGGGTTAAGGACTGGCGCTTAAGACCGAAGTTGCGGAAACGATTAGAAAAACCCAATATTTATAAATTTACTACCGTGTTTCCCTGAAAATAAGACATCCGCAGAAAATAAGACCTAGCACAGATTTTGCTGAATTGCGAAATATAAGACCTCCCCCTGAAAGTAAGACCTAGAGAAGTTTTTTTTTAGTCGTAACGATCATCGACAGATGGTTGAAAGTACAGCCACTGATTGGTCAGCAGACAATTACGCCACACGGCATGATTTGCATAAGACTATGGCTTGGGAATCACAGATTTGCATAATGTTATCGCTGGTGATGGCTAATTGGTCGGCTGGGAATCACGCCACATCACATTTGCATAGTGCTACGGTTCAGTAAGCACTAATTGGTCATCGAGCTCGATGTGGACACTATAAAAAGGTTAAGTTGAATGTGTCGCAAGGTGTTCTCTCGAACCTGTTTAGCGTATTGTTCAACAATAAATGTGAATTCGTCTTCATGGAAATATAAGACATCCCCTGAAAATAAGACCTAGTGCATTTTTTAGAGCAAAAATTAATATATGACACTGTCTTATTTTCGGGGAAACACGGTAGTAAAAATACAATCGGGCTATTTTTATATATAAATAATATTAAATTATATTTCTTCTAACGTTTTAAAAATACGGGAAAGACCGTACTGGCTACGACACGGATAAAGGGTAAAGTCCAAATACATTGGTATTCCTACTTTATAAACTCCTTGCGTCGAAAATACGGAGAGTAATTAAATTGGCCAGAATTAAAAAACATTTGACATTAGTCGGCAAAAGTATCAAAAGTCGGGAATGTTAACAACCAATGGCATAAATTATAAAAATGGATGCTAGTTATTTGAAAGAACGTTATAAATAGGTCGAACAAAGTCTAAAATTTGTCACGGAAGCCATTTTCTAAAATATAAATGCGTCTTCGTATTTGAACGTACTCGGAATTAATTAAAATGAATATTTTAATATAACCGCCACTTACGTATTTTATTACAAATTTCCGTAGGCGTGGGAAACAACGATAGGACGGCCGTCGTACGTTCGAATATAAATTGGCATACGCGCATTTCCAACGGAAGCGCCAACCGTTTGGCGTAAAATTTTGTCGGTTGGTATAAAGCGGCCGGATTACGGGCGTCGGCGGAGCACCGACGCCCAAAAATACGATTCCATCCGTTAGCCACCGGCGGGGGGCCATGGGACTAAGCGCCATCTTTTAAGATTTAAAAGGTCGAGAATATTTTATGTTTAATTATAATTATATCGACAGATTTTCGGACGTAAAATCTTTACAACTTTTATCAGTTTTACGCGTCAATAATTTTAAATATTCCTCGGCCAGTTTTAATTCTTTAAATTAAGTAAGTTGCGGGGAAAAGTTTTTGCTTTATCTAAATTACGTAGCTAATGGTTTCCCTCGGGGTCCGAAGCGTATTTTTACCTCACTCTTAGATGTAAAAATGCGCTAAAAGAATCGTACGATTTCGTAGGACTACCGTCCAGCGCGGTATTTCGACTGGGTCGGAAGCTTTTAATTCGTTTATCGAACGACGACAATCTCGTTTTAAGTAACGAAACGTTTCTCGAGTTATTAAATTTACGTAATTCTTTTCGCCTACGGAAATTTCTAGTGGAAATATTTAATATCGAATCTTAAAAATGAATTATATTTGTCGAGTAAGCGATAAATTATCGCGGATCGATAACGAAAGAGGCGAAGGACGCGAAAGAAAACACCTGAATAATTAAGATACGGGGAAAAAAATTATCGCCTACCACTGGCTTTTATATAAAAGTCGGTAAGATTATTCCTCCGTATCCGTCGTTTAAAGGTAGGTTAATCGCCGAATATTTTTAGTCGTCCATTTCGTGCGCGCATTTAATTAAATGTAATCGTTTTCCGTAGGTTCGACTGGTACTTTCGCTCGGCCATGAAATTCTTAATTTTTCTCGTGAGTATTTTTATTACGTTCGACTATAACGCCGGTAATAATTACTTACATTTTTGCCAATACCCAATGTTTTTACTTGGCAGTTGGTAATTGTCGCCGTCGTTTCTGCCAGAGGTAAGTCTATAATTTCCAATGTTTTTTTTTAATGGTAAACCTTTCCATCGTTTATCCGCGATTTATAATTCTTAAAGCTTTAGTTTATAAAATTTTCGGTGGTTTTTAACGCGTTTTAAATATTTAAAGCGGAAACCGAATGCGAAAAACATAGAAAGAGAGAACAAGAGCACGACGCTATAGGATTAGTCATCCCGGAATGTGACGAAAATGGCGATTACAAAGGACTCCAGTGTCACAAGGACCATACGTTTTGTCAATGTTGGGATAAAAAGGGCCACGCTCTGACCGCGCCCTCCAGGGATATCAAAGCCTGCGAATGCCCGAGAGCCAAAGCCAAGGCGGAAAGGAACGGTACCGATAGAATTACGTAAACGTAAAGCGTTAACCGGTTTATCCAATTAACTATTAAATCTTTTTTTAGCTTGGAGTGGCGATTATATACCGCAATGCCGAAAGGACGGTACCTACGAAAGAAAGCAATGTTGGGAATGGAAGAAAACATGTTGGTGCGTGGATAAGGACGGAAAAGAGCTAACCGAAAAAACTAAGGAAGACGTAACTTGCCAAGAATAACGTCCGTTACCGTAGACATTTATTCATTTACGGAGTAAAGAATAAAAGTATTACGTAATTGTACGCTTTTTGTTGCGTTTTTTTTTCTACTTTTAGACTCCGCCCGTAGGCGCTAAGAGCGGAATCGAATTTACACGCCGAAGCTAAAAATTATTATTTCCGCTTTTAAATTTATTATTATTTTTGTAGTTATAGGACCTATCGTAAATTATAGCTTAAGACCCTAAAAATTCAAAATCTCGCTCCGAGTATAAAAAATGACGTCCGATTGTTTTAATAAGAAATAAAGACAATTTGATTAGGCTCGACGTACGAATTTCGGCGATTACCACCCGAAATTGAACCTACCTTAAGAGGCGGCCGACCGTCTTTACGGCTTTGTCCGGGCACAGCCGCCACATTCGATTAAGCGATAATTCTCGATTTGCGATAGAATCGGCAATTACGAATAACGCACCGACTCCGTCCCCGAATAATACGGCGCTTTCTTTTTGCGCCACGAATAATGAATATTAATTAATGCCACGTAACGACATACGTCGCGGTATTCCAAGAGAACGTAAATCTACAAGTAAAATTAAACATTTTATTTTTTACGTTTAAAACACGAATCTTCTTTTATTGTAACTTCTGATATTTCATCTATAACTATATACTAGCTGCAAGGACCCGCTTGGCTGGGCAAAAAGTAACGATAGTGAAGATTAAGATAATTACATTATAGCTAATCTTACCCGTTTTCACAGAATGCAAGAATTAGGTCCCTCGTTTACAGACTAATTAGAGAATTTTTACGTCCAGTCAAACCACTATTTTCAATTTGATCAATTTTCTGCAACGTTTACAATCGTTCTATAATCGAACCAATTCGAATTCGAAAATTTTTAAAATCGAAATAGAAAATCTTCCACTTTCAAGCCCATATCTCCCGCACCCTTAGAGATAAATTATCCAGACGCAACCACCATAGTGCACGAATGGAGACTCGGGGCTACTACCACATACAAGCATCATTCATGCGCGATGTGTAGTTTTGGCTGAAAAGTGAAATATAGGGACACACACGTCCATTTATATATATATATATAGATAGATATAGATATAAAAATGCTATTTGAACGCGACTGACAAAGTATCAGGTAAACGAGATGTCTTCTCTCGCCTGTTCGGACAGTCGATCAGTGTCACCATCCCGTTTCACTCCCACAGTCTATTATTGATGCTCGCTAACGATGGCTTCTATTCATGTCTTTTGTTCGTAGCGACGGAGGGGGGTGGCGAGTGACGCGGACCCGACGGCCGAGACTGCGGAGGTTTCTGGCGTTCGCTGCCCTTCGACTCGAGCGCGCTCGTTTTTTTGAGCTCGTCTTGTCTCGAGCTACTCTCGCTCTGGTGCTCGTCCGTTCTTTCTCTCTTCTCTCCTCTTCTTTTTTTCTCTCCCTCTCTCTCCTTTCTCTGGTTGGAGCTCTCTTTTGAAACACTTCCGGCTCGAGAAAGTTCGTCATCGGGTGACGATTCATTGGCAGTGTCGTCATCGTTGCCGAGACGGTGTTTTCTTATTTGGAAACGACATCGATCTTTCGTAGAGTCATCACCGAGTTGGCGCGACTCATCGTAGCTTCGGGATAGTTCTAAATCATTATTCATTGACTGCTTTGACTGTTCTTCGTTTAATATGTAAACATTGTAGAAGTCCGAGCCTCGTCGCGAGACTCGGCGCCGAAAACAAAGGGGGGGAGTGCGATGTTCCCTATTTATATAGGCCTATATATTTTTTAACCCTTTAGAATTTTAATTATTTAATCGCTTCTCCCTCTCTTCCTTGGCGTGTTGTGAAATTTCTGATAGTTCGTTTTATTTTAATTCGTCTTTTTAAATTATTTCGAGTCGATATTAAAATTTGGAAAGGGACTCGACGCCGATGTCCCTAGATCGATAAAATAGGCGAATTTCCTCCTACGACTTCGGTTGTTGTTCGGGGTACAGTTAAGGTTTTAACAAAGTTCGAGCGAATACGTAATTAGCAAAAAAAAAGAAAAAAAAATTGAAATAAAGTGAATAAACAAAAATTACTACAAATGTCGTAAATAACAGTTCACAAATGCATACATAGAGATATTTTTGGAGGGAGGAAATGGTGGACTTGGCACAAAGTACGACTATTATACATCATTATTTGGTCAAATTGCACGTAACACGATACGAACACGGATTATCTACGCCGCTATGAAGAAATCTACATATATTGTTCGGATATTTATTACAGTATACGGTTTCTCCACGTATAATTCGTCATCTAATTTCACTTTCTATCACTGGCTTTTGTCCTCCGATCTCTGTCGGTAATGGATGGCACATTTTTGAACGTCAAATAATTTTTCTCTAACCATCGTACGAGTTTCAAATCGTATAAGAATTCTTGGCTTTTCTGTTTTCGTCCCGTCGCCAACATGGCGGGGAACGAGGTATCCGATCCGACGTCGCCCACCCGAATTCAATTCCGGTTCGAACGGAGCGATAGGCATCGGCCTTTGTTTCGGTGGTAAAATTAGGAATTTCGGCCGTAGCGCCTCTCTTTTTACGCGAAAAATCTATTACGAATTTACTAAAAATATAAAGGAAAAATCAGATAAAATTGGCGTTATTTGGAAATCAACAGAAAAGCAAAAATTCCATTAAAAAAATAAAGCGCGCGAGCGATATCCGTTGCGCCACGGAAAAGAATTGCTAACGGATTGGCGGTTCAATACCATCTTCCATAAAGTTTCTTATTGATTCCCGACTCCCTGTACAATTAACCGCGATATTTTCGGTTTTGTTTTAACATTCCTTAATATTTAATGAATTATGGGCGACATTACCGTAATAAATATGTTTCAAATTTATTGAATTTAAAAATATTAATTGCGCTTTTGCTAACGTTCATTGTACCGTAGATGGGATGGCGAAAGAAATAATGAATTAAAGCATCATCCACATTTTTAATTCGTCTAAACAGCAAGAGTCCCATTTCGTTAATTCGACACCGTCTTTACGCAATCCGTAAACGTCGACTGTAAATAAATTAATTACGTTTCTTTAAACCATGGAAATATTTGAACCGACTTAGAATTTAATTTATATACCGGTCCATTCTCCAACGGCGATTTCTCCGAGTTGCTCCTGGCAAAGTCCCGGAATTACCTTTGGTTTTTCAAACGTGCTCTTGGTTTCGATATCCTTAAAATCGCTTTCCTTCACTAGGATCCACGTACCGTTCTTCAATCCGATATAACTCCAGTTTCTTTTATCCGCGGCGTACGTAATCCCCGTCTCCTTATCGCATCCGACAACCTTTCCGATGTTTCTCTGCACCACTAAATAATATCGTCACAGATTTTCGCGCGGATTCAATTAATATTTCGTTTTAAAAATGCCGACTTACCGTTCCATCGTTTACCGTCGTCCAGAGTGTAATAACACTTATTTCCACTGAAATAAATTTAAACATTTAACAGTATTTAAATCTAAACGGACTTTGAACGGGATCAAAAAATAAATAAAATCAATTGGGATGACAAAATATAAAATGTTTGTACTGAATAAGTTTTCCTATTATTAATGAATAAAATTGTTCGCACCTGGGATGGTTCGTACACGTATCGCAAAAATACATTTCTTCGTCTTTACATCCTCCAACCAGGTGTCGACCCGTATTGGCTAAAAGTCGATGATTCGGATGAGTTCCAGATTAATATAATAATAACTAAGAATAAGCGATTTTAACAAATACCTGGATCGTCGGAATACCACGTGGAGTCGGAATTACACTCGGCTGTAAAAGTTTTTCTTAGATAACAAGAGTAATTTTTAAAAAATTGTTAAAACCTTACCTCCCTTGGCTTTATCCACCGGGCATCCGTATAATTCCATTCTAACTCCGATATAATTGCTTAAGTCGTCGGGATCATTGTTTTGTAAGATTACTAATTGGAAAAACCTGCACGTTACGGGTTTAACGAGTCTCGTTTCCGATAGATTCTCTCGGAAATTTGTGGTAGCCTGCGGAAGAGAATTCTTCGAACAAACGAAATATATAAAAGACTTTAACTGGAAGAGTAAATTTACTTGAACCGCTAGTGTCCAATCGACTCCCGTCATTCCACACAAAAGTTTAAATTCGGTTACGTAACGCATTCCTTGGATTTTCTGAAGAACGACTTTCACCACTCTGACCGTACGCAAGAAGTCAATTTGCAAATAGTCGTTACAGAATCCCGATCTAACCGGCGGCGCCCAAACTGAATGTGCCATTAAAATAAATACAAATAAAATAATTTTAAAAACATTCTTACGGAAATAAGCCTACCCTTTCCACTATCTTCTCCTTGGCCGATAATCCTAGCGAAATGTGCCGCGTAATCTTTACTGGCTGCCGCGGATGCCGTTAACTGGCAATCGTCGACGACGGTCGGATCATCGATTCCTAATTTTTCTCCGCACTCTGTTGGAAAATGTCATTTTGTAAATGGTGTGCCAATGCATTTTCGTAAGTTTAATTGCGCGGGATTTCGAAAGATTATCAAAACTGTGTGGTAAGACACGGATAAAAACGAAGAGAAGAGATTAAAGGAGGTCTAGAATGGGAGAAGAAGGAGGAATGTCCGTGAAAAGATTTAGGGAAGTCTAACAAAATGGAAATACAGTCAAACCTCCGGTTTTCGAACAACGTTTAGGAACGAATTAAGTTGGAAAACCGAGGTTTGACCGTAACAGTAATATAATTATCATTTGATAAGAAAATCTAATAAAGAATAACAGGTTATTTTTATGAAATTTTTGAGTCGGGGAGAATTCATTTTATAAGAAAGAAATAATTATATTTGCTTATATTTTGATAGGTACTAAGAATTTTCAATGGATACAAACCGGGGCAACATATTTCGTAATGAAGATGGCTCATTTCGGCGCAGTAAAATAATTTATCCTCTTGTGGATTTTGAACGGGTGTAGAACGAAGAGTTTGCCTGCATAATACTCGATAGGGCGCGGTAACGTTATTGCCACACGCGGACGATTTCTGAAAACAATCTACTTTAACAGTAAATTCCACTCGGGCTACTTCGCAGAATGCCAAGCTACCAAACTATAAATAAAAATTCCTATTATTTCGTGTCCGTTTAATGTTAAATGTCGGAGTAAAAAATTCTTACCGATATTCTTATGCCTCCGGATTGATTATTGAACGTTGGTTGTTCTTTAACGTTCCAACTCGTTACCGAATCCAATATTAAAAATGGCGGTGTATGCAAATCTACCACGACTTCGATTGGTTCTGCCCTGGATTCGTTGCTGTGCTGGACGGAAACTTTCAACACAATATTATCTCTAAGAGTAAAATATTATATAATGTCATTTAATAAATAGTGATTAACTATTTATTAATATAAACATCAATTTTGTTTTGGAAACGCTTCGAAGATAACTGCGTGAAAAATTAAACTCGATGGCTATAGTATTAGAACATACGATAATATAGTCTATGCCAGGGGTGGCCAACCTGCGGCTCGCGAGCCACACGCTGCTCTTTGAAGGATTATTTGTGGCTCTCGATAGATGTACCCGAGTTCCCTTTTCATTTTTGTGTCATTATATTTTAAAAAATTATTATCGTTCCGTATGTGTTTCAAAATGTCTTTTAAATTACTACTAAGTGCAACGTTGTAACAAATTTCATTTCCGTCCAAGTTAAGAATGATACGACTCATCGAAAACTGCGCCAACGAACATAAACAGTGGAGTAATCGTCCGTTATCGACCGACTCCAGACAGATTTTGAATTTGTAAACTGTCATTACAACGGACAGTTGACATTGTGCACTGGAGGAAACAATTTGTATCACTCTTGCTACGGATATAATTTGTAATCTGGAATTTTTTGCATACCTTTTTAATACGTATTTAATTGCGGCTGGCGAAAAATTTCAAATTTTGAAAAATGGCTCGGACTATCGAGGAGCTTGGCCACCCTGGGTCTATAGGGATAAAGGCCATGCGAATTGATATAGGGGAAGGCCGTAATTAAAGTTTCGGGGCACCCCGTAGCCGTAACCGATAAGCGGATTGATGTCAAAACTCGTATTCGGACTATGCAAGAGATGCGGAAGAGGATTTTGCAAGAAAATTAATTGAAAAACTTCTGCTAGGATGCGCTTTATAGGAAATTACTCGAAACAAAACACGGATCAACTTTAATGTGACATTTTAATCCATTGTACAAATAAAGTCAGCGAACATAACGACACATATGGCACTGCGAGTAAGAAAGCTGTAAAACACGTTGAATATACCGATCGTGGCCTTCAAATTTTACGCGTGAACAAAGGGGCGCACGCGTCAGTAAGCAGCCTCTGTAGAAATGTCTTTTGTGGCTTTTCACGCGTTTCCCCGTAAAATACCCCTAGAGAAGTTCTTAAACTAATTTTTTTTTCAAAATACTTTGTGGCATCCTTTTACAGTCTGCGTACAAATTTCCGCGTCGATCCCTTAATGGTTATAGTTACAGAGTGCTCGTTTTTAAATAGGAAAATTTTATATATAAGTTATAAAGGATGCCCATAATTAATGTTATTATAAAGATTACTTTTAGCCCTTGGTATAATTAAATTAAATATAATATCTACTAATGTGAAATAGATATTACATTTAATTTAGTTATTATATATATAAAGTGATATCGATACGCGTGTAGTATTACGGATTGGCTTATAAATGATCGTACGCGAGAAGATTAATGTAATTTATATCATTCTTTCGATGCGTGATCCCGTGTGTGATATTTACAACTCGATTCTTAAATATCAACTATAACGATGGTAATTTAAATATATTGTGATGTAGAAGTACATATAAATTAAAATAAAAGCTATCATTCGTAGGACCCAAAAAGTTAACAACCATAAAGTCTATAGACACACCGAGTGACGTCGTCTCAACCACGTTCATTTCCCAGATAGACCTGGCAGCGATTTGCGCTTCGGAAACCTAGAAAGAAACACGACCTCAAATATTAGTAGACCGTTGGTTAAAACGAAAATTTCGTTCTTTATACGAACTTATCCTTTAACTTTTTTACTTATTTTTGAATGAGCCTCGATAGTTTTGACGAATTATAACTTGTATAAAACACAAAGGCGCAACAAAATTTTCGTTTTAACCAACGGTCTACTAATATTTGAGGTGGCTTTTCTTTCTAGGTTTCTGCCACGTGTCTCCGAAGTGCGAATCGCTGCCAGGCGTATCTTGAAAACGAACGGCAACGTTTTGTCCGAATACGCTTAGGCGGGGCTACAAAACGATTTTTAGCTCAGTGCGCCTAGGCCAACAACAAAACGTCTACCAGGCAACATACCGTACAATGGCAGCGTACTTTACGAAAACGATGCAAAATGAGTTCCTCGTTGCTTATCGTAAAAAATATATCGCTTTAACAAATTAAATTAAAAATTCGTAGATAGATGGATTCATTCAATCCGTACGGTTAACAGACCTTCGGGCTTCTGTTAGGGAAGTCCGAAAGTCTGTTTTTAACATTTCACTGGTAAAACTCAATGGTACGTTATCGAAGGAAACAAAAATATGTACGAAGGGACATACCCGCAATCTCCACCGCTTTTCGCTACATCGACCATCAAATTGGCCGTTTCTTTGCCGTCTCTTTCTACAAGAAATGTCTGTTCTAGCTCGTTACTTTCGCCGTTAATTGTTACCGAAATAGAGATTTTCTGTTCCGATTCGTGTTCGGCCGTAACGTGATCTGTCAATTCAACCGATATATTAAAGTTGACTCGGTCGTCTTCTTCAATTTTATCCGTTAGAATGATATCTAGAAGATACGACTCGATTAAGAATTTATATTATTCCAAATAAGAATTAAATATATCAAAAGCTCACCCGTGTTGCCCAAATATCCTATATCCGCTTCGATTGTGTTATTTTGGCAAGTGGGAGCTTCGGAGCTTAACGCGTAATCTTCTCGAATATTTGAGCACGGTATATTCCTTCCCGCAGATGCAAAGTGCAAACCGTGAAAAACAAAAATGGGTCTACCGTCCGAAATTGGAGATTTTACTCTTATCGTAATCTTCTGTATATAGTTGGGTTCTATCTTTATTTTGAATGGTACCAAAGTTTTCTCTCTTACTCTAATTGGAATGCTTTCTTCCAATAATTCCACCTCTATATTATCCTGAAAAATAATTTTACCTCTTTCTAACCCAATTATCCATGGCAAATGCCCGACGACTTGTGGATTGCATTCGAATTAAGTAGATGTGGTAGAAAAATGTGCGATTGCATTCGAATTAAGTATTTACTTACCGGAGCATCGTAACTTTTCTCTTCAATAAATTTTGCATTTAATACAGGCAAATCATCGATTGTTCTTTGCCCAATATTAAATTTTACTTTTATATTAATTTCATCTTTTTCGATATAATCCGTGGGATATATTGCGGCCTTCAATTGTATCTAAATTTTCAAAAATCAATTTAAAATATATTATTTGCGATAATCACGTACGTAATTTTTTGAATACAGCTTACTAAATTTGCAGAATTATTCTCTCGATCGATGTAAGAATTGCATACGGTCCGAAGACTTATGAGAGCAACTTCGTCCGGTCCACAATCTTCACTGTTTTAATAAAAAGTTTTTATTTAAAAATATATTTTACTCTAAAAAGTCACCGGAACTTACCACGGAGAGATTGTCTTCAGTGTTTCTGGCTTAAAACAAGGGTAATTTGCACCAAAATACGCCACTCCGGCCGAACAGACTCGAAATTTGCGATTCTCGTGATCGGGATTTATTATGGTAACGTGCAAATCGGCAGCGCAGAATTCCGGAAGCTCTATATCTAGAATTACAAACATGGGTGCATCCACGGCAACTTCGTTTCCGGGATTTAATGTTAAATTTAAAGTTTTTTCGTCTTCACACTGCAAACGAGTTAGCGTAAACGACAATTATTAAATAATTTTGAAAATTTTAAACCTCGGTTTTGAATTTATTTTATTTTACCATTTCTGGAATAGCAGTTTCATCTACGGGGATAATTAATTCGTCAGATTTTTTATCGATTCCGTAATCGACTTCCCACTGAAGCTTTTGGTCGTCTGTTGCATCCTGCGATACTAGTACAATAGCAATAACCTGCAATTCGTTATCGAATGACGATTGGTCCGAATCGGGACTTCCTGTAATGGGATATAGTATTAATATTAATTAATGAAACACGTTGCTTTACCTAAAACATCCTAACACCTGTGTTTGATAAGGCTTTCAATTCAATTATTGCCCTCCGCACTCCTTTTCTATCATCTTCGTAAGGTTGGTATTTTGCAGGAGTCTCGGGGTCTACACACGGCAAATGCTTTCCCGTACCATTAATTCGAAGAACACACACATTACTCGTTTCTGTCAAAGCTGTCACTTTGATTACAAATCTACCGATCGAATCGGGGGCAGAATTTATATTTATCAATATTTGCAACGGATAACCGGCAGCTATGGTTTCTGTCAATGGTTTAACGGTTATAATTGGTTCCTTGTCCTAAAATTCGTCGAAATAGCATTAATTTTCAATAGTAATATAATTTATTCAACAGTATTTTAAACGTCACCTCTTTAATAACGATATCTTCTCCAGAAAACGTATATTTAATTTCAGACGCCCACATTGATTTCGAGCCAATAGTCAATCCAATTGCTAATTCGTATTTAGTTTCATCCACTGGTTCGGAACATTCTGGTATCGAAGCAACAACTTTAATAATAAAACGGTTTTTCTCGTCTTCTTCTTCCCTGTTTATGGCTCCGACATCTCCTAATTTTAATACAACTCTGTTGCTTTTTAAACACGCCGCTTCCGAAGGATTTCTTAAATGGAAATAATGACATATTTTATTCCATTTACGCAACGCATCGCCCCGAATATACTTACATTAAACTATATGTAGCGTTTTGATTGATATCGTCGATATGCGCCCTCGTGCAAGGAAGATGAGGTCCTACTTCCAGTACTTCACTCGTACAGATTTTAAGAATTGAATTTTCATCGGCCGCACCCTCGAATACTAAATCTCCGTAGCTAATTCCTGCCGAGACAGATACTTTGACAAGGAAAGCGATCGCTCCTTCGTCGTATAAAGTATCCCACGATACTGCATTGTCAACTACGACTGAAGGGACGGGAGGATCTGCCTGTAATCATAATGAGTTAATAATAATTATCAAATTTTTGTATATCAGGGAAAATCAATAATTATTTGCACCGCGTTTTCAAAATTTGAAGTAGCTACAGATTTTCTACAATAATACCCACCAAAGCCCGAGTGCAAAAAACTACCGAATATCGGTGGCACGACCGAGCGATCGAGGCGGCAGCCTACCGCTCCGGAGGACCCAGGTTCGGAACCGAACGGATCGCAATATCCCCAGGAATTTTCCGGATATGTCGGGCCCCGTCCCTCACCACCGGCTGCCTCATTGTGGGCCTGGCCAAACCCGTAATGGGTTTGCTAAAAAGAGGTTCTCTTGGTGCCCACAGGGCGGAAAGAGTTAAAAAATATATTGGTGGCAGGTTCGCGCCCCTCTAACTGACTGGCCACGCGGACTTGTTCGCCTGTATAAAACTAAAAAACGAATAGTTTTCCATAGAAAGTTCGCGTAGAAGGCACATCCGTGGTAGATTGTCCAAGTGTCGAGTTTCTTTATTTCATCAATTCAATCCTTACAAGAATATCATTTTGCAGCGTAACCCATTTTAGTCAATGCAAATGCCTAATCCGGCACGCCAAGCTCTCCTATACCTTCGAAAAAAATTCTGAGAAAAGGACCACTGTTTCCCCGCTTTCTTTATCTGTGGCAAATCGAATGAACAAAACAGTTAAGTTTTAAAAAAGCAGTTGTTTGTATTGTACGGATGCTCTACCACCGAGCTCGGTTCCTGGAAGGTTTCAACAGCGGCGGTGCAATGGTACAACACCAGACATTGTCTGTCAAATTGCAGGCACCTCACACTAATAAGCGCTGTATGTTATCGAGTCCTCTCTCGATAATATTTCATTTCTCAGCAAGTAAGAAGCCTTTCGAAAGATTTTTATGAAGACATAAAAATATCTGTTTGAATGAATATTAAAAAGCGGAAACTGCGTTGAAAATTCATGTTTTTTGTAATAAATTTTAAAATTACATCGCGGATAATTATTGATTCACCCCGAAAGAGTTTACTTTCGAAAAGAAAGAAAACACATACAGGTCCTTTAATGACCAAATTCCCAACTGAAAATGATTCAAATCCGTTTGCAGTTTCGACCAAAATATCCGGTTTTAGTTTTGTTCCAGACGTCGATTTATCGTGCGTCGCTACTTTCATCACAATTTCTACAAGTACCAGGGAATCGTTGTATTTTCCAGGATTTCTCTTTAAAAAATATCACAAATATAATACAAATAAAAACTAATATAATGCTGTAAAAAGTACAAATACCTGATCAACAATATATATTCTGTGTAATGTAAACAAATACGTTTTCTCTTCAATATTTTCCGACGGAACATCGACGTCACAAGGCACATAAGGGATATTAAAAGTGTAATCTGCCCTAACGAATCTAGCCGCACACGGCTCCAACTGTTCTTTGTCGTCCTCTTTCGGCACAACTACTTTAATCCTGCAATTAAAATATCCTCCCAAATCTTCCACGTACATATAATTAAGAATCGATACCAAACTTCCAGGCGAAACATCTCGATCTTCACTTTCAGAAATTTCAACATCTTTAGGATATATTATCTAAAAAGTTAATTTAAAAATTGAAAATTATTACTTAAAATATATTTAACCCCATATAATTTAAAATAATTATTTACTGGAGCATCTTCTTCCCTTTCTTTAATTGTTACGTTAATTATCGAAGACCAAACTTTAGTTTCATCGAGTAAAATTCCCGCATTGATACCCACTTCTTTTCCTACATTGTTCGTATCATTAACGGCGTATATAGAGAACGTAAACGTAATCTTCCTATTATCATCCACCTGTTCTTCATCCGGAGGACCTAAAATGTAAAATTATTTATGTTATTTTGACAAAAATTGCTTTAAATATGCGGGTACTCACCAGTATTAGTAATCACTCCGAGTCTCAATCGAGCTTCGGTGTTCAAACACGTTTTATTGTCACTCTCGTAGGTCGCATTATAATAATATATATCTCGAGGTATACAATCGAAGTATTCCCCAAATTCTGTAGGATTTTTTAAATTATTAATTCAAATCTCTTAACAAAATTGATAAATTTACCAGAGTTAAACGTACCTTTAACTCCTAAATGACCAATTGACAAGACTCGATCGTTATCAACCCACACAATAACGGTAACTACGGTCGATCGCGATACGATTGTAGCATCAATAGTATATACGTTCCCTTTATCTACGTTTATATCCGTTGATCCGTCGACGATAACTTTAATTCCCGGAGAATCTTCAGGCTAGAAAGTTTGTAAAACCATTTTATGTATTATCTGTAATAAAAGCATCGGGGAGTTAATGAGAAAATCTGGCGATCGCGATTAATCCTTAAGAGAAAAGTAGAATAGATAATTAATTGGTTAACGCAAAGCCTGGTTACGTCGCGGGTTACGATTACGCCCATTTGCAGGGGGCTCGACAGCGAAAGCATCGGGAATACGCGAGGAGCACGTACGGGTGGGGAAAGGTAGCGGACATTACGGGTTAGAGTGGGACGGTACGGAAAGCGTGGGTAAAGGACAACACGATGGACGGGAACTATAGACAAAAGACGGCAAAAACGAGAAAGGGCCAGCGATTGTCTGGAACTTAGGCAAATCGGTGGTCTCCGCGCACCGTTTAAACCTAAAATTTGATGTCGGTTCACGAGATACAATTTGCACCAGGTCTCCCTATAACCGCGCGAATTTCTTACTTACCGACTTATTTGGAGTAACGGAATGTTGAGAAAGCCAAACGTAATTTTCCTTATTAAACTCGGCACCCGTCGTGACGTAATGTTCTACCTCGTACGTCGTGTCCGGATTGGCCACCGGAGTGACGAAAAATTCCACCACGATTTGACTTTCGGGACCTTTATTCGTTATTTCGCCGAACTCGACTATCACGCGATCGGCCTGGAAAAAACGGGAGCAAATTCATTTTATACAAAAGATTAATAAGGCAATAATAAAATATTTATAAGCTAGTTTATAAATTATATTAAGAATTACGTCTTAAGATAATATAGATGCGAAGAAAAATCTTCTGTTATAACAATTTATCCGACAGTCAATATCGTTTTCTTTGGTTTTTTACCCGTATTTCGCTTCGAAGAAAAACTCTTAACAAAAGGCATTTGACTGTCGTCTAATTAAATTGTCGCAACTTTTTTACATTTCACACGCTTTCGTCTGGATCGAGATTGTTTTTTGAATCGTTAATTAATTTTAATTTAATAATTAATTTTTAGTAAAATCGTTATAAAAAGTTTTAAGTGGCACAAGTTTAGACTTTTGTTATTCCGGATACGCAGCCGTAACTAGCCCTTCCCGTGCCCCGTGCGAGAATTCGCATTTAGGCCCCTTAATTTATTGGGTTTTGGGAAAATAATAAAACAAATACATTACAATAGGTTTTAAATAAGATTTATTTTAATTGAATTTTTCTGGCTTTCATTTCGGCAAATTCATTAATTACACCATCGTAATTAACATTTTTAACCACATTGTATTCTATCGAAATAATAGAAATATTGGACAATCGTTCTCGTCCGATAGTCGATCTTAAATAATCTTTTATTAATTTTAACTGGCTAAAACTTCTCTGGCGCGAAGCAGTAGAGACGGGAAGAGTTAGAAATATTGGCGGAGCGACATCGATATTTGGGTAAGACTCGCTTAAACCGAAATCGCCAAGAGCCTGCGGTTTCTATATTTTGTAGTCTATAAGAGTCCTTACTTCGAAATTAAAACTTTCAATTTCCCTTGCGAATTCCTACTTTTTAAATCTTTGCTATATTTAATAGCGAGATCCGCAGCCGAATTTTTTAAATCGGCAAACTCGTGCATTGTAAAGCCACAGCGAAAGCAAAAATCGTCACGGACAGTTTTCATTTTTTCATAACGCCCATTTATTTGACACAATACAGTGTCGAGAACGCTATAAATTTGTATTTTAAACAATTTTTCGGGTGTCGAGTTACTTCCTTCGTCTGGTGTTTTATCCATTTCCATTAAGTTTTTTTTTTTCGTTTATTAAGAGATCCCTTTTCTAAACTTTTTGGTTTGTTTTAAGAATATGGTCAATAATAGTGTGAGAAATCAAACTGGCTTTTGGAAATTATAAAGACTTAATTTTATATTATAAAATTTCTTTCGTCATTATTTCCCTTATTTCTTTCGTTTTCATCCCTTTGCCCGGGGAATGGACCTTTTGACCCCTCCGTGTACCGCGTCGTTTCGAAAGGTGACCTCCTAGACGGGCCAAGTCGTCGAAAAACGACCGAGGAAGATCTCCCCTCTTTCCGGGGGATCGCTCGATTCTAAGGTATCCGCAGTGTTCGAGTAAATAACCAATTAGCAACAACAGACATACGTTACTGTATAGAGGGTGAACTAAAAGGTCACCCGCGAGAGTAGACCGTACGGTGAGAAACTATATCGCGTTACCCAGGATGGCCAGTTATGCTGACTGGTCAACTGGGCTGACGACGATGGTCATAACTTCGTCACCCACGACGGCAGAGACGGTAATAAATCTGAAGAACTGTCAAATTCGAGTAAACGACGTACTCTGCAAAGACAATTACGTCAAAAAAGTCCCAGATATTTCCCACGCTAATCGGGTATAAAAGGGGATGGCTCCCGTCTCCGGGCGATGGCCGGGACCGAAACCCTCCAGCCTTCTCTACCTTTGGGAACTTGGCAGTTTCTGATGGCCACCGCAAACCGGGTAAAGACTTAGAAAATGTTTAGTTCCCTCTCTCTCGGTTTAGCAGGGACTTGGAAAATATTCGCTTCTACCTCGGTTTAGGCTTTTTCTCGGTTTTAGATTAGTTATTAGAAAACTCAGGGGTAGCGGACCTTCGACGGTTCCGAACGACATCGGCCGTCTAATATTGTCGCCACCCGGATATATTATTAATATCATTATTGCTATTTTTCTTTTGTTTCAGTTTAGAACGTAACTGCATGTATTTGTACCATTTGTTATAAATTAAATATGTTATTCTTAATTTTAATATTGTGTCTCCTTTGAGTACGACCGACACCTCGTCAGACTTCGCTACCCCTCCCACTGGCTTAACCATCGCCATCCCCGACAACGAAGCCGATAAGCGGGGAGAAGCTCGCGGCTATACTCCCTCGGTTCACAATACATCTGTTAATATTGTTGGCCATAAAGCTATATCATTTATTACTTCCATGTATCTATATATATCGAAGCGTTTTTCAGTAGCACTTTAAAGACTGCGGGAGCCCCTTGGGGGCCCTTCGCGCCCGCATAGTTCGCTTACCGCTTAATCCGCCGTTCGGGTATACACCATATAAATTTCTGCACGCCTTTTACAACCTCGAGACTAAGATTTTATTCGGGAGTTACCGCTTTCAATTTAGTAATTTAAAAAAATCCTCTGGCAGATTTATTTTTGTTACGAAATGTTACCTTTACAGATTTCTAGCTGCGCACACTGCAGAAAAATCTAGAAATACAGTTTGTATATCGTAATAATAATAGTAGTTGCCAGAAAGCTCTATAAAGTAGAGAAAAATCTGTAATTTTGGAAACTATAAACATAAATTTAAATTTCTCAAAAAATATCAAAAGTCGCTACTTTTGGCTGATTTGTCCGAGGTCTCTCGCTTCGTCCCTCTAAGGGTGCGATTATGCAGACGCGAATTTAGAGCCAGCGATTTACTTTTCGCAAAGGAAAACCATGCACAAACGCGAAGCGAGAAATAACGCTGGCGAGAGCGAATTTCTGGTTCTCGCACATATCTGACAGGTTTTGATATTTATCGCTTCTCGCCACATATTCTCGCTCGCTCAGAAAATTCGCTCTCTCGCCTCTGCATAGTCGCACCCTAAAGGTCGCCACGGTTGGGAACACCGGTGAGCGGACATCTAGGGTCGAAGTAAGGCGAAATGTAATGGCCAAACCGAGCTGTAGAAAGGCGGAAATATCAGAACGAGCGCGGGTGTCGGATAGACCATTTCCGGCCGACCTTTCCCTCCACCGGCACGGAGCTTGGTTTACACCCGGAGACGGGTGGGAGACCAATTACAAAGCGCGGAAGAAAAGTCTGTCCAATTAGCTTATAAAAACTCCGACGTCGGTGGACAGAAGGTGGCCTCCTCTAATCTACCCGCGGCGTTCGTTCACTCTCCGCTCGTCGTACGTCCGTTCGTCCTTTTTTATTGCGCCGTTTCTCCCGATTACCAACGTTAAAACGTCGTCGCCCCGGGGCCCCGTCGGCGTTGGACCGGAAAGAAAGGAAAGGAACTTCCGAAAACAACTGGCGGAGCTCCGAATCTTGAGAATTTTATGTAAGAGTATTCGTCGAAAATAAACGGTTTCTTGGCCAAACACTCGTCTTTTCCGCCTCCTCAAAACCCCCACCCGCGTACGAATAGACTTTAAGCCGTCCCCACGGTAGGGAATAAACTTTCCCCCCCCGAATCGGCGAACTTACGGCGGTGTCCGAGAAGTGGGATTTTAAGTCCTCGGTCTCCACCGGGTCGGCCAGCTTAGGCGTAACCTAAAACTCAGGCAGTTTTAGGTTACGCCAAGCCTCGTCGAGTCCTTTAATATAAGATGTATATGGTATAGATTAAATTTATATAAGGCCACATTTGTAGGTAAGGCGAACGAGCCGCGGCTTAGCGCCTGGTATTACGAGTCTATATATGTTTTGGCTTCATATTTTTTACACGCCTTTAGTGGGGGGAAAGACTTTCTATAAATTAGGACCGCGGCCAGTCTAAATCTAGTCCCGTATAAACCTCTGGTACGATACTCGATATTGCTAAAACCTTAGTTAAACGTTCAACGTTTTAATTGATTTTGTATTAATTAATAACGTTAAGTGGGAATTGTCGAAAACTGAAGAGTTATCGATAAGAATGTATTTAGGAGCGTAGTTGAAGGATTGAACACAATATAAGCAATCTTCGGATACTTAGGTTGAAAGAAGAAATAATAGAGACTGTTTTCGGAACTTGTAAAAGCTGGATTAACCGGAAATTTAAATAGGAGAACTTAACCGATATTTATGTAGAGAAACTCACCACTGTTATATCATTCCAAATCGTCTTGACTCGTGGTTCTCCCGTCGAATACGTAATGGAACTGCTAGCAGTCGTCACCGCAACGCCGCATATTGCTAATGTCGGTACGTAGCTGTCGTTACACACTTGTTTCGTAAATATTTCTGCGGTAACGTCTAATCCCGAAACTGTCGGGACAGTCGCAATTAATTCGAAACTGACCATTTCGCCCACCTTCAATTTTGTTTCGTCTCCGTCTTTCTTTTTTAATTCGAAATAATTTCCAGACCCAGACTGGTCCTAAAAACACAAAATATTCGTAATTTAAACTCAAAATCAATTATTTTATCGCTAACCGGAGGACGTGCCCGGGAAAGCGATAAGAGCCAACGTTAAAACCAATTCCGTATTAAACGTTCGGTTATTAGGCCTATAGCCTACTATCGTTATTACCGGGTGTCGAGGGGACGAAATCGGGGGAAAGACTGGAGTGTCCGGGTTTCGTGTTAGACTATATTTTTCATTAGGTCTTCGAGAGTGCCTACGGACAATTTGGTCGAGATCGGTCAAAGGGTTTGGCAAGTAAAGGGGGTGAGACGTCGAGGTTTTACAGCCTATATTTTCCGCGGGGTTGGCGGAGTAAATATAAAATACTTTGCATAGGTCAGTCAAAAGATTTACAAGTTTATAGACGAGAGACGGGTAGGCACTCTATTTGATATATTTTATATACATTTATACAGTAAATACCTGTCTTTTTTCTCTGCGAAGCGGAGTATAGCGCGCATTCGACGACACATTTTTATGAATTTCTCTGGTTTTATTGGAAGTTATACCCGTTTTTACGTAAAATTTTACCTGTAAAATATGAAAAAATTTTATAAATTATTTAAAATTTAATAATGTTTTTATTATAAAATTAGAAAGATTCTTCGTTTAACCTCGATCGAACTGTTGTGCTTTTCGTCGTAGTTTACACCCTTGGCTTTAATATATATAGTGTAAACATCGACTGATAGAAGACCATTGGGATCTTTAATAAACACTTCTCCAGTTATACTGTTTATAGTAAAATAATTTTTTATATCAAATAAGTAATATCGAATGGTCGAACAGTCACATTTTGTCGAATTTCTTCCACACGTGCTGACAAAATCCTCATCGATGGCTTTAGCGCGATACACCGCCTCTAACAACTTACGTTGGTCGATATATACGACATCGTTGGGATGCGTAAAGAGTGGAGGGTGTTTATCCTCTAAAACGATAAAAAACTGGCTTTATCGCCTGGCGTTTTATTAAATTTAAAAAGTAAACATATACGCGTGTAAAAGCGAATCATTTACCGTAAATATCGCAGCTGTCGCCCTGGTAACACGCCTCGCATATACAGTGTCCCATAACATCGCAGTTTCCGTGGTAACAGGGTATCGATCTAGTTAAAATGCGAAAGTATTTAAATAAATGGTATTTATAAAGTTTTAAACTTTAAAAAGCCCGTAAGATATAGCTTAAAACACGATAAAAACACGTTACTTATCAAGAAAATGTAAATATTGGCAAATTCAAATGTATACATTTAAATTGAGTAAAATAAACCTTCCGAAAAGAGGTAACCGTTATTTAAAAGTTTCATTTGGATTAAAATTCTGGCTTAAAACTCGAAAAGAATAAAAAAATTGAATTACCTTTGGCAAAATTCTTCCGGACAATCGTCGCCGTATTTTGTACAAAATTTAACACAAACACTTACTAAAACGAATGAAAATAATTGGTAAGTTGGTCGATATTTTTAATAATAAAAGCTATTGATTTTCTTTGGCGGTAATAAACAGAAATACTAAAATATATTGCTTTTTAAGCCTATAAATATACCTAAACTCCGTTTATCTTCACTTTATGCCGTAAATTTACGTAAATTTTACCATTTAATACTTAAAATTTATTTTAAAAATCTATATAAATTAATTTACGGTAAAAGATTAAATAAATTTTATTTAAAATGATATTAAGTGTCCGCTCGTAACTCTAAAACTGCTCTAAATAGTTTATACAATTTAATAATAAAACTTTAAAAATTTTAAATATAATATATTCGAGTCATTAGGTAAATAAATTGTATTATAATTACATTTTTAACCGTAAAAAATTTACCTAATTATTTGGTACGTTCGTTTGTCTACGCGTGTTCAATTTACCTCAAAAATCTTTGTTAGAATTGAAATCTTTTAGAATATTAAGAAGAGAGTACAATAAATTGAAAAGGACCTAAACGAAATTTTGGGAGGAAAAAATTTGTATTTAAAATTTGATAAAATACCTTTGAAGAAAACGACGATAAGGATTACAGTTTTTTCCATCGTTTCGTTCGTGTCGTACATTGGAAAATAAATATTAACAAAGAGCGGAAATGTTTATACATTTGTGTTGCTTAGTACCTTATTCCATGCGTGTCTAAATCATAGGTGCAAAAAACAAATAAATATTCAAATTCGTCTTCTACAATTACATCCAGACAATTTCAATTACGAAATATTTTGCCCGTCTTCCGTCATCAAATATTTTTTTATCACTGGATTGGATTGACGGATTTCTCGGGAGGACTTTAAATAAAAAACTGGCCCCTGTTTAGGAGTTAGAAGTGCACGATCGGTCCGTAGATTGAGTGTGAACCCGAGACTAACTACAAATACAGTATTCGGAGATTAATGAAAAAGGCCACGGTGGGCCTTTTTCGTTATCGTTATCAAACTTCTTATTAAATTATTCATCTGTACGTGCGTAAAACACGGAAAAACTTTTTTATTTAATAGAGTTATATGATGATTGTTTCCAAGAAATAGACCCGTTTCATCAAATGTTAACCACGAAGAACTATAGAATGAATATAAAGATTACTTATAAGTTGCGAAAATATGTAAGTCCTCTATTTAATGAGCCCATAAAACTTATCATTTAACGTTTATCATCGCGGATACACTTAAGGTTTTTCGGGGTTTCGTAGGTCGTGTTGACTTTAATAAACTTTGATCCAATTCTTTATTATAGACCGGGTATGTCAAACTCATTTAAACAACGGGCCATTAACGCCACCGATGAGATTCGGGCGGGCCACATCACATTTACAAATTTCCTTAAAATTATAATTCGAAGCCAGATGGGGCGATTAAAACGCATTACCAATTCGACTGGACAATATATAATTGCTATAGTTTTGCTTTTATTTAAACATTTATTTCATTTAATGTACATATTTATGCGAGATTCAGAGTTTAGTTAATTTTATAAAAGAAATTTATTCCTTACCTACGAAATCAAAATACACAGTCCGTGGGAATTTTAGAGGAGAAGGTGGTATTACGGAACCCCAATTACATTTTAGTGAATCGTAAACAAGGTATCATAACTACACCCACAGTTTTTGTGCGAAAAGTACCGGTAACTAGTAAACTAAATGTTCCTAATTGCATTTTTCGCTAGTGTAATTATAAGTATGGTTTTTGAAGGCTTTTGTACAAAAAGTCCGAAAGTAGGCTTAGAGAAAATCGGGTGGTAATATGGAACCTTACTGTATATTTTAAAAAAAATGCTTTAATGTAGCCAAAAAAATAGGAAAGGACAAAAAATGATAAATAATTACCAAATTATTTACTC